AGAGGTTGGCGTCAACAATGGAAGATCAGTCCAAACAGATCCAGATTCGACTGCAGAAAAATTAACAGTGCAGCAATTTCCCCACATGGAAGGATCTCATGGTGCTGCAAAGGTCTCAACTGGTGAGGTGGTGAGAAGTGCTGCAGAGCTTGATAAGGGTAATTCCACTCTTATCATGTCTTTTGATGCTGGTGAGAAGGAAGTATCATTGGGGAATTCCAGTGAAACAACTGGTCGCTCGCAAATACCAACCCAGGAGCAGCAACAACAAGCGTCATCCTCAGAGGAATTTGACCACAAACAAATGAAACATCCCTCGCCTCACCAGAAGCCATCCCAGGAAGAGCAAATCTTCGTTCAGCAACAGCATCAACCAGAGAAAAACCAGCAGTTGATTAGTCAAGAGGATAACCGGACAGACGTTGGTCGTGAATCCGATACTTCATCAGCCGGGCAAACATCCGAAAGAATAATTACTGATGGGAGTTCTCAGGCTTCCCATAAAAGACAAGTAGAGGAGCCTTCAAGTTCAGCTGATCAAAAACCGCAAAGAGCAAGGGTTACCAAGGTATGTAGGCATAACCAAGGGAAATCGAACCCATTTTGGTTTTCTTTTAATACAATGTTCCTTAGCGAAATTCACGAATTTGACACAAATTGATTAGGCAAAAACGCAATATTAATCTCCTATTGTAATTTCTAAGGCTACTTTCACGAAAAAAGCCATTGAACCACCTTTGGTAGATTTTCTTTAAGAATTTCAGTGCTGCAATTTTCCAGTGTACTATAACATTCCTCGAATTTCGTGCTCATTGAAAACTTTAAAAGTTGTTTAACGTAGGCACAAAATTGTGTAAATATTGTAGTGATGTCAGAGATTTGGATAATTTTTTGCTCTGGGCTTTCCTATTCACCATTTTCACATAGACCATAATGTGTCTTGTTTACCCCCCAAAATTTCGCATAACCATTGGGTATTACAGTTGTCCCAAGAGAAATCGAAGACAGTGGTTATGCAAAATTTTGGTGGGTAAACAAGGTACATTATGACCCATGTGAAAACATTCACTCCATTAACTTTGGTGAAAATGTTGAATTATCTCGAGTTTAGCACAACATCAAATTCCCATGCAGGCGAGAATTTATCGTGCTCGGTTGCTTCGGCTCCAAAATCTTTCCGAAATATGGTTATGTTGTAGAATGGGAGGAAACAATGAATTAGTAACATTGCTGATTTCATTGAATCTGACACAATTGAGGTGAGGCCGTTGTTACCTTTTTTCCCCGTTCTAATTGCATAATTAATTAGCTCACCACAGAAATTTTGTATCATCTGTGTGCATTCCCTTGAAATCGCAAATGCTTGTAGCAGTTGTAATGCTTTGCGCCCCTCGACTGTAAATTTGGCCGTGCTGCCTAAAACTCAGTTATTTTAATGATCGACCCTCCAGGACCACGGTCAGTTTTCGCGAGCCGATCACCTCACCTGGTGGCAACTTCAGTGTTATCCTCGTTGCATGCCTATTGCCTCAGCGGTCGCGGACGTTCCTATAACGTAATATTGCGCGGTGAGGTAATGAGTATGCAGTGAGGATGTGTTACGATTGAAAGCGAACGTTCAACTGAGCTCGCGTATAAAACACATGTTTTCTAATTCGCTTTACTCCCCCTCTTTCCTCCCCACAGAGAGTAGTGTCTTATCGCTAACACTATTATCGATTTCCTGAATTCCTCGGTTCTCTGTACATGTTAGTAACGTTCGTGCTTGTTTTACGATATCTGTCAAGATTATTTGGTCTTTTAGAAACCGTTAGTATTGTACATAAGATAATAAAGCTACCAGTGTCTGATTTTTATTAATTACAGCAGGAAAAATTAGGCGACAAAGATAGTGGAGAAAACCCTTTAGGAACAAAACATGCTGTTGAAAACACAGATGTTACTTCGAACATTGGGAAAGTGGAGACAACTGCTTTTGTCTCATCGGCCTCCCCTCAAGACAAAGAATCTGTCGTTAAATCCCATCCTTTGGAGGAGGAAATCAATAGAAGCGAAGCAAAGGTAACTGCATATAAAGTATCGATAAAAATAATTTAGTTGTGACCATCCCTTATACTAACGAGCCCCACTTTGTTTTTCTTTGCTATTTGAGGGTACTAATTGTGCGTTTGTAAGCAAATGGGTGTGATAAATAGAGAATATTACATAACCGCGCGGAGATACGAAATTGAGTTTTCAAGTGGTGAAATATTTTTCAACACGAGAAAAGAAATCTCGTATCTCCAAGCGACCGTGTAATGTTTTATTTATTATTCAAGCACCAATAAAATACTAAAACCATTTCACTTTAATAGCTTTTTGCTTCGAAAGGCGCGATTAACTATGTACCCATAGCAACGGTGATCTTTTCACATGTGAAGATAACATGTTATTTTCGCGTGCGAAGATATCGCACGAAAGCTCACCTGGTATTTCATTATTATTTATATAACAATATGCATCAGTGAGCAAGTGAGTGGCGTTACAATGATGCCTCTGTTTACTTAATCTGTGCGTCTGTGTCCTCGAAAAAGGCTATTCTTTTCACCATTAGAAGGATTCACATGGATGTTGTTGCTTTGCAAAGCCCCATTTTCTCTTATGAGCCCTTCTTCATCACTCTTCCTTTTGAGAATTCGCTCTCCCACCTAGCCTAGCCCAGAGGTTGCCTTTCCAGAGTGTGCAAAAAGTACTATTTCCCCGGACATCGCTTTTATTGAAAGTAACGAGCACAAAGAACTTTTTTTACTTTGACAGCCTGTCAAGACAGGTGGACGTTGGTACCAGAAGAATGCTAAGCCTGCACAAGGAACCAAAGCAGATCCAAAAAAGAAGAAAGGAAAGAAACAGCCAGAGCAACACAAAGGAGATCACCAACCTGATACGACGTAAGTACAAGAAATGTTTTGCTGTATATCATATCAAAGTATTTTTTACATTTACTTAGTTGGTTTCATGTTTTACATAGTCTGTCGTTTAAGGGGTGTAACTAACTTGTACGTCAGTATAGAGGAACCTCGATATAACGAAGGGCCAAGAGACTGGCAAAATATGTTGGCTATAACAAGGTTTCGTTATATCAAGGTTCTTTTCCAAATATTTTACTATTACTGGAGTAAAGAAAATCGTTCGTTATACCGAGGATGTCGTTGTACAGAGGTTCGTTAAATTGGGGTTCCACTGTAATTCGTACTCTCAGGGTTCACGTTTGATCGGCTCTCTTTTGAGTTCTTTTTTTTATTAACCAGTCAAAATGCTCTTTATATTCCTCTTTTTGGTACTAACTTTCCTTTTTTTGCCTCGTCTTTCCTAAAAAATTACATTATCCTTAGGCAAACAGAATCAAAGATTTTTTCATGATTATTATTGAATTATATAAGTGCTGTAAAGAGCGTTTTTTCGCAAAAGAAATATGAGACCTAACAACAAGAATATCCTCATTGTTATTTTGAAAAGAATTTCTGATACTCTGCTCACTGATCTTCTTTATCAAAATAAATCTAGCATCAAGAAGCTCATTGTTAATCACGCATCTTTTGTAGCTGGCCAATAAATGTGCCAGAAATGAAGAAAACATCAGTGCTATGTCAACACAAATAATAACATTATTTAAAATCAAAACATCCTGCCAGTTTTTTGATAGAATACTAATAACTTGTTTTTACAGAACAAGGCAGGTACGGAAATCTGTAAAGGAAGTTGATCCAGAACGTGGAGTTACGATCGTGTTTCACATTTTGTTAGACTCTAACTTCAACATACCGGGAGAGGCAAGTTTGCATATACGGGCAAATGGAGTAGACATAGGACATTGGGACGTAAACTGTGTTGATTTGAAACTTATTGAGTGAGTTCTCGTTGGATTTTAAATCTCAATGTTTCTTAGTGTGGGGCCCTGCCAGGGGGGGGGGGGGGGACCCAATTGCCCCACCCAAATTGTAAAACTGTATTCTGAGGTGTTTTAAAATGCCCTTCGTTTATTTTCTCTTTCACCGTCCCGTTCCAATTTTGCCTGAAGTGGGTGTATTTTTTCTCGAAATTATATTAAGGACAGGGGGGGGGGGGTCCCATGTCGCCCGTCTGAATTGTAAAACGTCTCTTGTCGGTGTTTATAAATGCCTGTCGCTTATTGTCGGCTTAACCGTCACTGTCGCAATTTGGCCGAGCGAGGTTGTCTTTTGTCACGAATTCATTTTACGCGCTGTCGCTACTTTTTGGGCCATGTCGCTTGTCAGAATTTACCCTAGCAGGGCCTCTAGTGTACATGGATGTTATTTCTCAAGACAAAAAAAGAAAACAATAGTGGGAACAACAACAGCAAAAGAAAAAGTAGACAAACAGACAGACAGGCAATGAGAAAGAAAGACAGACAGAGACAGACAAAAGGCGAAAAATGTACATATTCGTTGTGTGTGTTCGGCTGCAAGCAGATGGATTTCACATGTTGCGTCCTTTTGCACACCCTGTTGTATCTTGCATGCTGATGCGTGTTGTCGGAATTGTTGCTTCCGTTTGCACTTAGCTTTATTATAGTTGCATCATAATTTATATCAAATTTGAACGTTGGCAGATGAAATGTACTGCATGTCTGTGTCACTGTAGGTTTTTTGTTTGTTTAATTCTGAGTTCGATAAATTTCACATTCGTATCATTAGAGTTGTCGTCTAAGAGTGCGAAGTTAAAAATTTGCTAAATAAAGGTTGGAATTGTGCTTCAAAAACTTCGTTCTTCAGCTGAAATTTATCTTTCGGAAGTAAGGATTAAAAAAAGAAATGTAATGTGAACACCCCAAAACGATTGTTGCTGTAAACAAAATATAGAACTTACGGACGGACCACTTTTCTGGAAACGAAGGGGAGCGGGCTGAGGATTAGAGGAAATTTTTCGTTGGTTTAGGGTGAGGGTACCATGACGTAAACATTCTTTTTCTTACGAATTTTTTATCATCTTATAGGAACTGTAGAGACAAAAAAAAACTCCTCCGTTTCAGCGGTCAGTTTACTTTTAGCGTCGATCGTGCGTCGACAGGAATCACTTATAAGTACGTGGTTGTCAAGGAAGAAAAACCTTACTACGAGTATCTGACAGAGTTTGAACCAAGAGTGCGGAATGGAATAGTAGATCGATTCTTGCGGATTCCAGACAAGTATTTAAAACCTGGTGGTAAGAATATCCCTATATTTTAACTTGCCGGATATGACTCGGTAATTGTGAAAGCAGTTTGATTATTTTTGTAATACCAACATGGTGAATGGAAAAAATAACGAAAGCACGAATGACATGAATGTGGTGATTATGGATTGCATTCTTGTTTCGATAGCAACACTTTATTTTAGGTGTCCTAAAACAGTTTTTAGCGACTATACCGTTATTTTTAAATCGCCTAAAAAATGATATTTTACTTGGCCGATCACCATAAAATTTCCACTACCAACTATCTGACTTTGGGCAAAGGAGATTTTTTTTAAAATATTTTTTTTACAGCTATTGAAAATATAAGGTTCTGGATTTATTTGAGTTTAACGTACGGAATTTTTGCTTCTCAAGTAGGTTATTTGCCAAACACCACACTTTAAGTTCCTGATGTTAGATTTTCAATGCCAGGTCTAATTTTACTGATTTCAAAGTTTTTTTCTTTGTCGTTGTCATGGTAATATGACTGTATTGATTTTTCTGAGAAAGCACATTGTGACAAACTTTATTCCAAGGTCAGGGTGGGTCAGCGGTCGGCAAGCAAGAGGAACGCCTTTTAAAGGTCAAATGAACCAAAAAATTGAAATATTTTCTTTTGTCGCTTTACCTTCACCAAACACTAAAAAGAAACATCCTAAGTGAGATTTGGGTAAAGATCTTTCTTCCCAAGCCTTTATAGAAAGATAAAAGATCAAAATCCGAGCATTTCCGAAGACCTCACGAAAACGTTTCTGAAATGGCCGCGTGATAGACTGGAGACTACGTGACGTCAATGTTGGTCTTTTAGGGCGGAAAAACGTTCTGCGCAAGCTTCTGCGCATCCCTTATCGCCGATAGGTTTATGGCCGCACAAACCACCACGCCAAGTCGACTCGAAAAACTCTGTTTTGAATTTCCCACTTTTTTTCACCTGACCAACATTGACGTCACAAACTGTTTTTACCGACAATTTTTCCGACCGCTCTACGAAGATAAGGGCCAAAAAATAACAATTTTTAATTACGAATATCTCGGAGATGCTTGCTTCAATTGAGCTGAAACTTCATAGTATGTTTATTCGGTTCATATTAAACATATTTCACTACAAGTGAACTAAAATAAAAAATGTCGAATTTTTGGTTCATTTGACCTTTATGCTGTTCGTCCCAATTCATGATTTTTTCGCCTTTTTTTCTGTCATATTTTGTCTTCTCGTTTTTTTAAAATATTTTTTATAATGGCTGTGTACGGTACACGTGAGGAGCTTGATACGTTATTGCTATCGCGGGAAAATTGAACCAATAGCCCACGTTCGATATATTAAAATTCTAGCATGACTCCGAGGCTTTCTGGTCATTTTTTCTATGTATTTGGTTTGGTTTACTTTGTGCTCAAGTCTCTTTTAAGAACTGCGAGACAATGGAGTCTTGAAAAATTTGCAATTTTGACCCTAAAGCCTCGGAGTCATGTTAGAATTTTAATGTATTGAACGTGGGCTATTGAGAGCTCGTTGAACTTCAATGGCGCTGAGTTAAGGAAACTGCTGAAACGAGAGGACAAACTAGAGAAGACCGTGAAAGCTCTCAATTGAGCTGGAACCTGAGCTCTCAAATCTCGGCTTAATTCAGTAACACCAAAGTAAAAGAAAACACAGTTCTGTTGGACGATCAAGAACAATACATGCGTCGCGACTGTGTGGAAACAGAAGCATATAACCCCGAAACGTCTAAATTCCCCTTATCTTTTTAGAACCATGCTCGGGTTTTTTAGTCGACGCAGCCGTCCAATCAGAAGTACGGAAAATTATTTTGCCCAAATATGGAATCAGAGAATTCAAGCTTCGAGCTTGCAACGCTTATACATGTACGTCTACAAGCCTGTCTACAACCGAAAGAAATCGTTTCGTGGCATAAAAGATAAAGTAATTATGCTGCTATAAAATGTAACCCTGGGAAAACATAAAGAGCTACAAAGTTATAAGCGGTATGGCTTGAAAACATCAACCAGCGACGAAATAAGACAAGGATGTTTAGTAAAGAAGTGCTATAGCGTTTCGGAGAGCGGCTTTAGTCGTTTTACGCAAACGTCGGAGAAACTGGCTGTTTCTAGTAGGAGTCCGATGATCGACGTTTGCTATCTACCTCGGCAAACCAGTTATCTGCACCTTCTGTTCTCATTCAGCAAAACCAGCATGGTGACTACAAACAAAATGGCAAGCTTCGCAGAAACGTTGTACAAGGCGCCGACGAAGTCGGAACGGAATCTTTTTTATGTGTGTAGATTTTTTAATTCATTCAGAACAGTAAGCCAACACATGTATGGCAGTTTTGATTAGACATGTGACATGTAAAAGTTTTTTTTTTTCTTTTTGGGGACAAAGAAAAGTCTTAAGCTGCGAAATTTACCTTCGAGGACTTCGACCTTGTTTCTTTCACGGAGGAGCGCTTGTCCTTTTCTGAACTGCGACCAAGTCAGCAACCGTTTATCAGAATTTTCAGGTGAATTTACATTTTACACATTATGCTCGAGGAAAGTACAATGATGAAAGGAAATTTATGTGTTTATAAATGTTTCATAGACGTTTTATATATTTGTGATAGAGTTTTCAAGAAAATTGGGAAATGCGCCCGATCTGAGACAGATAATTTTAGTGTTAATTTTTGCCATGTGCTCAGCCGATTTTACTTGTGGAAACGGATCCTGACGATCCAGTCAGTGTTACGTGAATTGCTTTTAACGGTAAACTTATGGGTTTTGGAATAAAAATTTTCAAGAAACAGTTTGTCTGTTTATTGTTTTCTGTTTGTTCATTCATAACATTAGTCTAAAACATGATCGTCGCATCTAGTCTTTAATATTAACTTGTGTTTCATCCTTCTTATTCAGTGTCTTATTAATCGCATCACTTCTGCGAAGATGTCAGGGAATTTTATACAATTTATACTTTCCAGTTCAGCAACTAGTGAATTTTTTTTTGAAAACATGTGTTACTTGTTTAAATATTCTAGATAGATAGATAGTAACTGATTTTTTAAAGGTTTTTTTGCGCTAATGGTCAGGCAAAAATCGTCAGTTGAAGTAACAACTTTAAGAAATCGCTTCTCTTACGGGGCATGTCATTGGTAGTCGACTTTTTCTTGTTAAGAGGAACTAACTCATTCTTGGTCGATTTGGGGATTAATAGTGTATTCCGTTTTTTGTCAAATATTACCTCGTAAAACAGTAAATGCTTTTCACACCGCATTAATTACATCACGATACAAATTTTCCTTTAGAGCACTCGCACGACAATCTCGTTTATCAGTAATTCCATATTAGGAAGTAAATTTTTATTGGTTCCCTAAAAAACCCGAGCATTGAGACAAAGTTATACGCTTCGGGGTTATATGCTTCTGGTGGAAATCAAAGGTATACCTGTCACTCATGGTGAAGATACAAGTCGCCCGTTGTGGTTCGAGTGGCTGACCTATATAGCTACTTGACGTCGACGTAGGCTTTGGTATTATCTCCGTTAACCACAGGCTACCTTCGATACCTCCCTGGACAGACTCGAACGGCACTGTGCTTTCGCAGCTTCCAGTTGGAGACGGATCACAAGCCACTAGAGCAAATCTATCTGCGAACTTCGAAACTTTGCGCCGGAATTGAGAGATTGGTCTTACTCTTAAGGCTACAAGGGTACGATTTGGAGTAGCGTACGTCCCAGGGAAGAGAAGTACATAGCCGTTGTCCTGTTTAAACTCCTTGGATCAAGCGAACCACGGAGAAATTAAAGAGGCTTCTTATGATGACGAGATTAATTGACCCTGGTAAAGAAATGCGTGAGAACGTGGAACTGGGATCAGTGTACACTTCCGTCGTATGCATAGGTCGAGAGCGAATTATGCGTCTATGGCAGCTTTTGCTTTGTGGCACAAGGATTGTGGTTCCCAGGCTTTTGCGCGTCAGGGTGGTGAAACTAGCACACGAAGGGCACAAGTGCAAAGTCGAACGAAGTATCGGCTCCCTAGTAAAGGTTGGTGGCCGGAAATGAACAGGGACGATAAGAAGTTTTGTAGAGGTTTTCGTGGCGATTCATTTTCGATTCTTAGAGGTTGATACTATGATGTCTAAGGAAAGTGCCAAGGTCATCGAAGCATTTGCACCCATGTTTACCAGTTTCGGCTTTTCATTCTCTTAATGTCAGATAATGGCCTCCAGTTCGTATCTTAAGAGTTTGAAGCCGTTTTACGTACGAATGGTATTGGACCCCCGGGAACGTATCTCGTGAAAACTCCCGACTTTAATATGGGCATTACCCCGAAAGTTAAGATACCGGAGTCGGAAGGATTGTTCGGAGGTCGTCCCGGACTGTAAGACAGCCTGCGCGTTATGAAGATTTTGTTCTGATGTCTAGCACTTCTTCTTTTTTTGTCTAGCTAAAATCAAAAACTTTGATTTGTTGAACATTAGTCTTTGAAGTCGTTAAAAATAAAAACTGCCTTCTTGCTAAATTGAACCAATGGAGGGAATCTAATGTATAAGATGCTAATGCGTGCACGTAGCTTAAACGTAACCGCGGTGTACTTCATTCTAAAATTTCTGAATCTAATAAAATGGGGATATATTGTGTTATTAAACTTTGATCCTTAAAGTGTAACGCGTTCGTAGGTTTATGTTAAGACATGCACACTGTCAACTTGCTAGAGGATTTTAATGTTTAAAAACATGGTAGCTTGTCCAGTCGCTGTTGTTATCTCTCTTCTTCAATACTCATGATCAGAGAATCCTGCCTTTTTTCATTATTCCGTAAGCGGAAACGTTTCCCTTTTTCTTTTCAAAGTCCTTAATCGCTCTTTCTGTCTTCCGCCTCTTGCACTTAACTTGAAAGGTCGCTGTTTTCTGCACTCTTTGTTGCCAAGGATGAAATAGGCCCTTTTATTCTCCACATTCGAGCGACTCCCCGTACGGGACACGGTTAATCGTACACGTAGCAGCCATACTGCTCACTAGAAGACAGTTTTTTTTGACTTCCGCAATAACAAACTCTAAACTATTGATCCCTAAAGGCTCTCAATTCCCAACTTTACAAGGGTTTTACTTTTAGTATTTAACGATATTATTTTTGGCAACTTATTTTTATCACTTTTTGTCGTCACCAATTTGTATTTTTAATCTTTGATGGCATGGACCGGTGCTCATTCTCTCTTGACGGCAAAAACTACTTCGCCGGTCGATTATGTATGAAAGGGTAAAAGCTACAATGGCGCCTTTCATAAGTGACAAATTGCAAAATGATGTATTTTGCTCATGGCTGGAAGAATTCTTTTGTCATTATTTTCGTCATCTTGCAGCAAAATGGGACCAGTGGGATGGTGTTGCCTACATCTACGGTGAAAGAGGCTGGTTTGGACGTGTGTATGATTACCTTCGCAGTAAAGAAACCGTGGAAAATCGGACATTGGCACTTAAAACGTATTTGCCAAAGTGGAAGGGATTTCTTGTTAATGAACCTGCAGAGAAGATGACCGCTACTGAAGCGATAGTGAAGTTAGATAGAGTTGTTAGCTGCCTGTTTGCGAACATTTGGGTTAAAGATAATCATTGCAGTGTTCCAGAAAAGAAGAAACCACCAGAATTCAATGTTAAAGCAGTAAGTCCTTCCTGATTTCAATTTCTACATTTCTTTACACTCTTTTCTTTTGGTAAGAACTTATTTTATAAGAATATTGAGGCTGAAATTTGGGAAAATTTAAGCATATTTCAAGAATAAATTCCTCTCTAAAAATTCAGTTCAAACTTCAGTTCAGTGATTAACTCCGCACAATAGGATAAAAGCACCAAAAGTTTATGCAGCGTACTTCTAAGAAAATGCTGCCAAGGGCTGAAATTCGATTTGGATGTAAACATTTTGTGCCGTCATTGTCCCGTGATCTTTTTTCCAATCGTCCCCCAAAATATTGTCTGATAAAGTTCAGTTTATGTATAATACATTTGTCATAATGGCGTTACAAAAGATCAATTTGTTTAGCTGTAAGAGATTCTAAGATGGAAGATGTGCCTACAAAAATATTGGGTTGAGCCACCTGAACGGTATAAAACTATTCCTTTCTCTAAACGGCAACAAAACGAAAAAACCCGCACTAACTTAAATTGAAAAAACCTGCTCTTACTGCATTAACTTTAATTGATACGCACCAATGCATTCTAAAACGGAAATGTCATAAGGAAAATATAAGAATATTTCCAGCTTTACATCGGTAGAAAAATACGAATGAGCCTGGACCATTCTTATATAAAAATGAGTTTACCGAAAGAAAAAAATATACAATGTAGTCAAGTTGTATTAAACTCGTGTATTGAAAATATTGATTTTAGTTTAATCATTTCTTGGTTTTCGTTTATTTTTTTAGGTTTTGGTTGAGATTCTGCAACCAAAAGTGATGAAAAACAGTTCTTTGCTTGGCAATAGCAGAACGGATTTGAATACTCGTGCTTCAGCTCTTGTTTCCTCCCTTGCCATTGTATTGCTTCTGAAACAATATGAGATACCTTTAGAGCGAGATTACAAGCTTCTGCTTTTGAGATGTTTGGCCCTTGAAGCTGATCCCTCCTTTAAAAGGTGCACTGTGTATGAAGCTGTGTTGGAAGAGTTTAGTGACAGCCTCAGAAAGTAAGTATACCCGCGCACTCTACTTTTTATTAATGCCTTGCAAATCCATATCTTTACAACGGCCTAAAAATATACAAGGAAATTACTTTCCTGCCAATTTACGAAAACTGCACCTCTGCCATAGCTAGTCTTCGGAAGCTCTTTATCACCTCACCTAGTTTTAGTAGGTTGTACATTGGAATCTGATCAGTCCGGACATCAAAGGCAAAGGAACGTGCCCTCTGTAACACACCATTATCAGCAAAGCAGGATCCACTAATAAGTCACGAAAGCGTTCGAGAAAAGCGTGTTTTGTGAACACAAAGACTTGACTTATCAACTATAAGTAATCTTAGATTAGGAAGTGCGTTCAAGTTTTCGTAGTTTTGCTGTTGCACACTACATCTTTCTGCGAAATTTCTGCGAAGCAAATGTCAAGGGAAAAAAGTAAGCAAAAATCGAACCCAGAGGGTAGTGTCATCAGTCCATCGCCTATACCACTAGGCCACTGAGAATTTGCTGCTGGGTATAGGTTTGATTTGGAGCTATTTATATCAACAACCCTAACCCTAAATAGAAGCTAACCATTTTAAGTCAGTGCTCAACCCTAATCAGTGTGATTATTGCTTGACCCCAATCACTGTTTTCAGTACTTAACCCTAATCAATCACTAATGTCAGTGCACGAAACCAAAGCGATAAATAATACCACGCTGTGTAAATTCATGAGGCGGTGCCCAAGGGGGGTTTGGGCCGTTGGGATCTAATGCTAGCCCAAATATGTCACCAACCACAGGAATGTGAAGCGACCTTTAACGTGCCTGGTAACCGCGCAATGCCAAACGCTATAATATCCCACATAGTCAAACCAAATCCCCATTTAAACCAGCCAAACCTAAAAAGGGTACAGCGGTGAGCTCCAATTCCTGTGTCGGGAACCACACGAGTGCAAAATGCAGCCAAATGTTATTTACACAATATGCAGTTGACGTGAGAGAGAATAAGAGGTAACATCTCACCAAGTGGTGTGAATGGGGCTGGTAAGACACAAACAAAACTTGAAAACTTTACACATGCATCGCACCTTTTCAGTCATCCTTTTTTGTATATTTCTTTGCCGTGGAGGTTCGCCGCAAAACTTCAGCATCAGAAGAGCTCGCCCACCTTACAAAGTAAGCAAACAATAATCGTGTTAAAGAGTGAAAACTCCGAGTTTACTTTCTAAGCGACGTTTTCACCGTCGTCACTGTCGTGGACTCTAAATTTTCTACTAAATTTGATGCATGACGCCTGGCGGTTAAAAAAAGAATACTTCCAGTTACCATTCTAGATGCTCCCCTAATCCTTGCTTTACGTCCTCAACGGTTTAAATGTGGTTTTTTGCCACTCGTGTACTTTCAGACGTGCTGTTGAGGGAATCCAGGACCTTTGCAATGAGATCATGGCAACTTCATGGAGAGACGATGGCGAGTGGTTATTTGCTATACCTTTGTTGCATTTTTTGCGAGGAGATTCGAGACCTTTTGAAGAACCAAATTTTGAAGGATCAAAGAACCACCCTGAGTCGATTGGAGCACAGAATCTAAGGATAAGAGAGTTTCAAAGAACCGAGAAACGGTAAGAAAGTAGCAGACAACATTTCGCAAAGGGAAACCATCGGTGGCGTCACGAAATGACGTCTGTTTTTTCTCAGGCTATAAGAAAGTTTAAAATATTAGCCCTGCGTGTAGACATATCCTATTTCCTTTGTTTCCTATTTCGCATGCACCAAAGGAAGTAGGAGACGTCTGCGTGTAGGCTAGTACCGTGGGATAATGTATGACATGTAAGAGATGTAACATAATATTGGAAGGTCATGCCACGAACGCAAATTTACTTTTCTCGGCTTATTGTAGGGAATAAGGAAACGGTACAGAAAGAAACGGAACTAAAATCTGTAGTTTGCAAAATGAAGGGTGCATCTACATGTATTGATTTCTGCACACAAAATTTTGAACCATAAAAACACTTGGACGCTTGGACGAAATTCCAGAATACTCGGCATAACCTGTGACCAGACCCAGTTTTAGCAACATTCTTTTATTGTGTTTCACTTTTTGTTTCGCTTCTTCCTCAGAAGTGCCCCCCCACCCCCTCAGGAAACGAAAATAAGCCTGGTTGCACTGGTTAGAATATTCTTTTCTGTTGACAAGTTCATTTTGGTTCCGAAAGCAGCGGGACGTTTTTAATGCCACGAATGAGAAATATAAAAAAGGAGCCGATAACTACCGCATTTCATTCCGAATAATTACGATTACAATACAGACTATTATTTCGGAAACCACATTTCGTTTCGTTTGTTTCGTTTGGGAGACTACAATCGCAGATACCTGAGGAGTGTTTTGTTTTTAAGCAATAAATACTTTACAGCAGCGGAAACAATGAATCCACAATTTTCTCACAGTTTTCTTTGATTAGTTTTGTATTCATTGTCTTCTATTAAACGTAATTCGATGTTGTTTATTGTTTGTAACGTAGCCATTTGTTAGATGCATTACCCCTGCTGGTTTCGGCCTTTGAAGTTGACCGCCTGTTTAAGAGAACGTTTGTCAACGCAATTCCTGCTTGGGAGCTACATAAGTTTGTGGCTTCTAAAATGTTCCACGTTTACGATATCTGTTTTGCTTTGGTAACTTTCTGTTCCCGTGAAGCTGTTCCAACAGCCAAGGTAAGAGACTTTTTTGATTTGATTTGTCTAGATCCAATCCATTTGTCGCTCATAATGCACCTGTCAATGTTATGTCGGCGGGGGGGGGGGGGGGGGGGGGAGGGGCAGGGGGTGGGGATCTTTTTTTTTTTTTGGGCCGGGGGGGGGGCTCTTGACCGTGCTTTTTCTTCCCGCGGGGGGGTATATTCTAACCTTTCTTCCCCCCCTGCGGGAAAGTTCTAAGTACCCCCGAAACAAAAAAGTCGCGTCCCAAACATGTTTTCCCCCAGTCGGGGATAGCGGGGGGGGGGGGTGGGGGGGGGGGGGGGGGGGGGGGGGGGGGGGGGGGGGGGGGGGGGGGGAGGCGGGGCGGGGGGTGGGGATTTGATTGTCTTTGTTGGTCCTGGGGTAGGGCATTTGACTGATCTTGTTCTCCCAGGGGAGGGGATATTTGAATCTTTCTTCGCCCGACTTGGAGATATTTGACTGCCAACTCGGACAAAAAGACTGAGACCGAACATATGTTTCCCACTTCCACGCTTCACGCATGCGCTGTACGGTCTGGAAAGATCTGGAAATCGTGGAGGCCAAGAGAACAAGCGAAAGGTTGGTGGATTTCGCTGTTTTGTCTTCAAACTTCGTTTGTTTTAGCGTGTCTTTTTTATCAATTGAACTGTACTTTAATTGAACTGTACTTTACTTTGATACTGTGGTATCAAAATAAATGGAAGTAAGGAGCAGCCAAGTCGATTTTTGCAAGTACAATTGACCAGTGTATGGCTCATTCGCTACAATCACTGTAAGCTTATAAAACTGACTTTCTTTGTACCCTTTACTAACTTTCTCCTAAAGGTTTCTGTATTCTACGCAGCGTAATGCTGATTATGGTTAAAACGTATAATTGCAGCTGTAACAGGAACATGTATCTTTGGTGATGCAGCAACGTAAAATAAATAAAGATTGCAGAGTTTTATTTGGAGATATCTTTATTGTGTCTTTCTTGGGTCCAGCCTTGGGATATGTGACAGTAATGTGCAGCCCGGGGTGGGGCAATTTGGTTGCATTTGATTGGAATGATTTGCCCGTGGGCAGGGAATTTGACTGCAAATTTTTGAAAAATGTCAAATCCCCACCCCATGCCCTGCCTCCCCCCTGCCGGCTTTACATTGATAGGTGCACAAACATAACATAATATGAGTGGTCTTCGATCGTTTCTCACAAATGTGCTGATTGGGGATTGTTTCATTTTAATTAGTGGGCCGATGTAGCAAAGTGCATTGAATTACTGATCAAACAGATGAAAGTGGACCAAGAAAAATCCGAGTAAGTTTTAAGAATTTTATCTTGTTTCCCAAGTAAGGTATTAATAGTGTCAAGCCGTTAAATGATAAAAGTAACAGTCGTTTTCTCTCCATCTTACATAAGGCCAGTGAGAAAACTTCCTCAACTTTGATAATTGGTGGCCATTTTCGTGAATTAACTCGCTCCTTTTATCTCCATGTAGCCAAGGGTGACAATTCAGACCTTCTATTTCTTTAAGTCTGGGTTCTCATATGCCGCCAATTTACATGCCTTTAGTGTTATCTGCGATACCACCACCTAACTATGAGCGAGGTTTATGAAACACCAATCACTAACAACCACGGTGGTACAAATAGTTCGACTCAGTAAATCGACACTGTCGCCTTCTGAAGACCTGCAGTGTGCGGTCGAAACGTCGCGATCAATATCAAAGTGACAATCGTGAGACAAACGATAATACTAAACCCTCTATTCACATTATCCACGATGATAAATATCTTTCATGATATCTGCTCTCTCTTCCGCAGAGGCTCCCGCTGGGTAACCCAATAAAAATAGCAATACATCGAAAAATAGAATGCGCCCTTCCCATCGTGCCCCACGCGATTTCCTTTTCTTTCTCTCAACCTCCCTGCGACGCAAAGAGACCTCTGAGGAGGAGAGAGTGACATCTGCGATACCGTTCCAACATAATTATGACAGCGTGTGCCACCGAAACAAGTATGGTCATATCACGGCTGTGAACTTCAACAACTTTATTTGATAATTCACATACTTCATCCAATATGGGGAAAATATAAGAAAGATGGTTTGAATTTTACAGCAAAGTGCGCGGACCGAAAAAAGTCCCGTCGGCAGTTGAGAAGTCTAGATTATTTTGTTGCTTGCTTCCTATTTCCTTTATCATGTTTCTACTGCAGAAAAAATATATACCGTAAATACTTCAGTACTTTTGAATGGGAGCATATATCCAGGGGATATATATAAATTCAGATGGCCTATAACGGGGAGGGGTACCTGAATAGTTATCAGGTAAGCGCGAGAATCAAGCAACCTCACGTTCTGGCGTAATTTTTATTTTATTTGTATTTTTATTTCTTTATTTGTCACGCAGTAGAAAAAATTTAGCACAAAATCTATATAAGATGAGTAGAAAGAGAGAAGTGGCGAGGTTACCTCAGAAAAACTGTAGAAACTTCATTTTAGATTAGGCCAGCTACAGTTGTTTACATTGAGTCAAGCAGAGGATGACGTTAATTCAGAGGTGGAAAAGATTTAAGATCGATATTCACTCTACTTAGCAATTTAATCCTGAGTATTTCCCCAAAGGACGAAAGGGACCGAGAGTTGATGATGTCATTGAAATGTGGGTTCAAAAACGCCATTTTCAACCTTGCGTGCTTTCGATTGATGTTATTCCGGAATAAAAATACCCAGAAATTTGAAGAAAATCTCTCCAACCGCCATTTTTGTGATTGTTTAATGCTACTTTCATTTAAATGGCTAATTCAGTTCCAAGTGTTCCCATTTCCCCGGGCAATAAGGTGCTCTTCTTTCTAAAATCTTCTGCAGAGGTCGAACGTACGCTTTCGCTGGCCACTGGTCTGCATGGGCGGTAATATTTCAGAAAAACTTGCAGTTGTTGAGTTTTGCTTGAGTAATAGTTGTTGGTTTTCCTGGTAGTGCAGGCTAGTGATATATCCGGTGGATAGCGCTATCCAACATTTAAACAATAGGGTCCAGAGTTTTAAACTTTTCCACGCAATACACAACGAAACAAGTGATTTTGAGAGTTAATGTCTTATTGTTATTTCGTAATACGCTCAAACGAACGGACTCTAATATCTAAATTGGTTTACAAATGCATCTTTATATCTGTCTCTCTATTTCCCAGGACAGGAGTAGATGTACACTTAGCATAGAAATCATTAAAGTACTGCAGCCCATGAAATACACACCTGCTATAGGTGTCTTGTTTGTGTATATCTTTGGCGTGACTTCGACGTGAAATTCACTTATGCGACCCTTTACAGTAGACGTAAACACACGGCGATGAATTTAAATTAGGATCGGTCCCCAAGAGTTCAGTCCATGGAAATTCACGAAGTTTTTTTAATTGTGACGTCGTTTCATTTCTGTCGCTGCCGTGATTGCTTACGCTTCGTTGCTTTGACTAACGCTCGTTGTATATATTCTTTCATAGGAACATTGCCAAAAAATGGGCTTTTACTACGTCAATTTGTTTGAAATTGCTGGAGATCTGCCTTAAGAAGCTGACCTGTCGGGGTGACCTGGAAGTCATTTGCATGTTGATAAGACTTGTACTCACAAGTATCCAAGTGCAACGGCAGCAAATGGCAAGCAGTGACGGTGACCAGGAGGACCAAGCAAAAGAGGGAGACGTTATTAAAAAGCTATTGGTTATTCTAAGAAGACGTCTGATTTCTGATCTCTCTTTTTTTATGCATTCTTGTTACAAAGACGAAGTTTTTCTAGGAGAACTTCAGGTATGATAACGAACTATGGTAATTAGTGTAGAAAGAAAATCAATAAATAAAAAATTTAAAAATTATTTGAATAGGAAAATAGTGAACAAACTCGCGCAAAAACGAAAAATATTTTTCTTATTATTATTATACTATTTACTATTTTTTATTGTTTTCCTGTTCTTCTTCTTCTTCTTCTTCTTTGATATTTACTATTTGCAGCTATTAATCGTTCATCAAAAAAGGATAGATGTATTTTGAATAAACAAGCACAATGCAAACTTTGAGCTCAGAAAAATAAAACTTTGTAAGATAGCGAGTTAACTGCCTGTCATGTTCGTTGAAAGAAGTTTCACCTGCAATATTGTTATTTCAGATATGGAGCGAGTTACTATGGGTTGCAGACGAGTGTCAAGGATTTGACAGCTATCGGGAGTTCTTGACTGAGGAACTGGCTTGCCGAGCGAGAAAGGTACCCTTTCGGATACAAAGCAGGAGTAACTACGTGTATTTATACTTGTTCAAGACTAATTGCAGAGCTCTCGTTAGCCTGCGCCACGGACGAAACTATACCTGGTTAAGTCCGTCTGCAAAACAGCGCCGAAATCCACCACCTCTGTACCAGGATTTGAGAATGCACCATTTTGGGCCTCTTTGCCATTGTCGACTTGCCAATCAGGATGAAAGGAAATTCGAAACTCACTTTCCGTTGTTAGTCCGTTGGGGCCCAGAACGAGGATTTCGCCGCTGCTTTACAGACGTTACCAGTGGCGGATCAAGGGGTGGGGCCCGCTCCCCCGTTATTTTTAGACCAAACTGAGGCCCGAAGGGCCGAAAAAATTTTTTTAAAGGAGACCGCCTCGGTCTGGATGACCGCCCCCCCTACAGAAGTTAAATTATGTCTGCGACGCAGGCTATAGGTTATAGACCGTTCAGAATTGTACAGGCACCGCAGCTTGCCGTCTATCAGATAGTTGTCAGCAATGGACCATGATATCGTGTCTAGGTTTTTACTTTCTAGTAACACGACAGCGGTTATTTCCGTATCCAGGTAGCGCTTAAAATTGCGTCATCCGTAGTTTGCAATTTTTTTTGCACCACTTTGCTTCAGCGACGATAACTGTTCATTTAAAGCCTTTGCCCCATATTTAACTGTCACTTTCGTTACTTTAAAGTAGCGTATTCAATCAGTCGACTTTTTCCACATGTGGACATTACTTATAAAAAATGTTTATTCTACGAAAACACAACGAAAATAGATTATGAACTCAGGTTACACGAAAGCTGATTTAAGGAAAAACAAGCCAACGATTCCCTAGCAGCTCATCTTTATTTATTTCTTCTAAAACATAATATTCTATAATTAGTATGTGTAATCAAATGGTGACGAGTGAAATTAGGGAATAATTTCACGTGCGTTTGAAGGCTCGGGAAATTATTAGGATTTGGACAAAACGCGCGTGAAATTATTCCCTAATTTCACAAGTATACCATATGATTACCTATTAATATCATGGGTGACGAATTACGTTAGCAATCTTGGATTTTTGACATGTTTATCCTGGTTCGTATCGATCGAGAACTTCTCTCTCTCAAATGTTTAGACCTTAAACATGGCTTATAAAGTTCAGAATTTTAAAGACTTTTTCGGCAAAATACCTGTTAGAATCCTTCTTGATGTTCTCTTGTGTGTTCAGGTTTTCTAAAGCGTCTTTTTGTGCCCTGACATCTTCATTCACGGCACTTTGAAGCTTCGTCGCCATCTTGACACTGAGACGTACGGAAAGGTTGCCATGGCAATTTTGAAATTTCACATGTGAAATTACAAATTAACGCTGAAATTTCGCGCCAAAATTAAGGAGTAATTCGTCACCTATGATATTATAATTATTATACTTTGTACTCACTATCTGTCTTCTCATTGGCTAAGAGTCTAAGAGTCAATCCAAGTAACAGCCAATTTTGGAAATTAGCGCAACCTACAGTTTAGTTAGTTATCTGCTAGCAGATAACTAGGAAATCTGTAGGTTGCTCCCGCCACGCATGATTTGCAATACCAATATCAATTTAGATTCCTTGCGACTTCGGTGTGTTTGTCGTTATTTTCCTCAAAACAATTTGTAACAAAACAATTATTAGATTCGGTTTTTGTGATATCCTAAATAATCAAGATCACGTAAGTGTTATCAGCCTCGGCCTTCGGCTCGGCTGATAACACTTACCTCGACCTTGATTATTCCGCATATCACAAACACCTCATCCAATAATTGCGTATTATTGCCGTTTTGAATAATTACATTACTAAATTTTTTTCTGTATTTTTTACGAACCTTATATATGTAATGAGGCGGTATTGTAAAGAAGTTTGGTGTTACCAGTTACGTCGCACACACCAAAAATTAGCATTTTACTTACTTGCCTATTCTTAGTAATTATGAGTTAATGGTGTCGGTAACGTCCCGTTTCAGGTGGAAGAGAAATTCCTTGTTGAGATATTTTGCGAAGTGCAAATGGATGGTTTAAATAAAGCTGTTGGAGAAACGTTCACTAAACTTGCTTTTGAAGCAGTTGAAAAGATCATTAACGTAAGTGTTTTGAAGGAAAAAGAATAAAATGGGCTAAGTAAGTGTCATCAAATGCTCAACTGCTTTAAAGGCAGTTGTAGATGAATGTAAGTTTTCGAGGTATATCAGTAATTACTAGTAACCTTAATGAGGTTGATATCATAGAAGGAAAAGGAAAAGAACCATTGTTAAGGTATAACGGTTACTAGTGGGAACCTCGGCAAGGGAAATATAGCGACAAATCAGATGATTCTAAGCGTATACTCAAATAAAGAGGCCTCAAAAACGATATTTTAACTTTCTTGCTGGTTGTCCTGTGATTGGTATACTCATGATGTGATAGCAGTAAGTTTCTTCTTGTTTGACCGCCATCGTGTTGGAGTAAACTGGTTTTGTTGTAACGCATCTGTTGTGTTAGAAGGCTTTATTGTCTTTATTACAGATACGTACTCTTATTATTCAACTTCTCTCATTAGACTACAAATAACACTGAAAACGAAAACAAAAACCTCATGGTATTTGTACTCCAGAAGACCGCTTTGGCCGGGAACACTTACCATTTGCAAGGATATTTGGTTAAAAAAATTCTGGCAAATAGTACTGGACTTGAAAACGTTTCCGAAAAAAGGAATGGGTTAGAGATGTACCATTTGTAAAAGACCATAATCCTCCTGGGAAAGGACCGCCATTGTCACCTTCCGCCTCAAGAAGAAGCCAGGCACTGGTTAACCAAACAAATGGCACAAAAAATTTCGATTGTTTCGGTGAAAATTGGAAAAGGTAATACCTGGAAAGGTGTTGCCTTTTTTCCGGAAAATTTCTACTGGGATCAATCGTTCCATTTGAATTCTCCCTAGAATTACTGGGTTTTCCATACAAATGGTAAGCGCTCTGGTTTTCGGCAAACGTCGCACATGGCGGAAAATACATCGTTTTCAGAAGAAATAAAGAGTAGGAGCCAAATTGTAACCGTAAATGAATCCGTATTTCTGGAGTAAAAACAGCTATGGGATATCGACATTTATTAATAATTAAGCTCAAAATATACCGGAAAAGATGAAAACAGACCTGGACGTATTTAATATTATAGAGATGTGGATAGCGACGATCCGTTAAACAAACAACGTCCATTAAATACAATTCCCGCCGAGGAACTGAACAGTCTTCACTTCTAGTTGTTTTTGAATATGAGAAATCTCAACATGGCAGTCTCTTCGTTCTCTAAAAACTTGTTGTGTTAATCCCAGAAAAGATGAGGTTTCAAGTAGGTTGTTTTCGAGTAGCTCTTTGAAAACTCCTTGAATTGTGGGTGAATTTTTGGCTTTCCATCTCAATTTACTCTGCTCAGGATGTCTTCTTGCAGTCGGTTTTACAAAAAAAACAAAAAACAAAACAAAAGACAATCATCATCATCTCTGTTTCACTAGCAAATGTTTGAAAGATAAAACCTTGAAGCGCCGAAGTAAACCCCCCAAAAATGATCTACTGAGTATACCAGTTTCACAAGGTTTCGTTTCTGACCAGTCAGGAACAACTTTGCATAAAGCGCACGAAAACTGGGACTTGCCAAGGAGTCACGGCCTGTCACGCATTTTCCTTATTATTATTTACTGATTTCTATTTTATAATCCTCGAGTTGAATAACAAACGCCTCATTGGTGTTGTATCGTGGGATATTTTTACTCGTCTCTTGTGTTTTGACTCGTAAGAATATTCCACTATTCTACACACTAAACCGTCCAAAAAGAGATGTATTTGTATTCGCCAAGATAAATCGCATTACAAGTCCATACATAAGGCATGCTCTTTTCTAGCTCTCAGTTTTTAGTTTCGATCTATTTGAGTTTAAATCCTATAAATCAAGCTACTTCAGCGTACTGCATTACTTAACTAACAATTTTTTTTCGGTGTGTTTGCGTAGCCTATATAATAACGACAGGGTGTTGGTAGAATTCGAGACAGTTATGCAAACCCGAGACGAAGTCATGGGTTCAGGAATTAATTTTTGTTTCTTTTTAGTCACAGAAAATGGGCGACGCCGACCGTGCTTTTCGCTCGCTTAGTTGTAGCGCTCGTGGAGACGCTGCAAAAGCGGGAAAATATGGGGAGCTTTTATCTATTCTGCTTAACAAGTCCTGGCCAAAGGAGGATGGTGGAACAGACAGAATTGGTTTGGACAGGCGAAGTGTTGAATTTCTCCTCTCTTGGAACCCGATGACTGGATATCTCAAATTTTTTGGTTTGTAAACTTTCCTTTTATTGGATTGCGATGGGCAGTGTACTTTCCTTTGTTTAAACGGAAACTAAAATGGTCCATTCCTTACAGGGGATGGCTCAGAGAGAGGTGCAATTTTGACAGATGAAGGAATCGAAACGTTGTCCATGGCAAAGTCGTTGCTGGAAGCTCTTATAGAAGTGATATCAAATGCTTCAGTGACCGTTGAAATCTTAATCCTTTTGCGGAGTTTCAAGGAGAGATTTTTGGAACTTGTCAAAACTACCACGCCAGTGGTTAATGCCAAGGAAGAAGGTAGGCAAGTTGCCACGAAAGAAGAAATTGAAGAGAGTCTCAATGAAAGAATCGGAGAGTTTGAAGAATTTCAAGCTGTAAAAGTAAGAGTGGTGTCATTCGCCAGGATGTGTGACTTGATTCAACCAGGTGAGATTTGCACAAAAAAAAAAGATTACTTAGCTTGTGGTTTTACCGATTCCTGTTTTATTCCTGGGTCAGTGATGTATTTCATTGGTTGATAGATTCATTGAAATATATTTACTTCATCAGCTAATGTTGATAATTTTAAAGTGTTTTTTTTTTTTCGTACAGTTAATATCAGTGTTATAAAGGTAAAGGCAGAAGAGAACGTTTCATCTTTTCAAATTTGCCATTTATGTGAACGAAGTGGTGGAAAGCAGATAGAAGTGAAGTTTTTTGAACTACCCCAGCTTGTGAAAGACATCTTGTTGCCACTTCACAAAGTCCAGGAGAGTTCAACGTTTCAGAAGCTCTGGGTACAGTGTGGAAAGAAATCCCAAACTGTAAGAGCAAATGACGAATCAAAGAAAAGAGACCTTAGCTTATTGAATGTGGTTGAAAATGTCTGGAAACCAGCTTACGAGGCGTGGACCCAACTGGTAGCGAGTGCTTTAGATGGTTCATTGACACTGACAGGCGTAGACAAATTCTTTGAAGGCTACAAATATCGAAGAGAAGAGCTTTTGAAAGAACTGCGTCTCATCTTCGTTCTTTACCAAGATTCAGGTGACACCAGTCAGTTAAAGAAAACAGCTGAAAAGCGTGTAACTCAAATTCACCGGTACCAACAGCTTGATCAGTATTTCACCGCGGCAGAGAAAATCTGGAAATTTAAGGAGTCAATGGGTTTTACTGGTGATTTCAAGGTTATCGAGGATGTGCGTAATCAAGTAAGTACATGTATCTGAGGAAATGTGAATCATAATTGGTCGTTCGCAGATGCCGGCTATTCTTCGATTTGGTTAGTAAAATTACGTCTTCAATGCGAATGTACCCAACCACGTGCTGGCAAATATCTTTTCATTTTAGAAAAGACCTGTGTCCGATTAGGTCACCCTGCTTTTGTGTGACGAACCGAAAAATTGTTAGAGCTTTGTTGACTTCTTTAATTACTTTGCTGATCGTCAGCTATAAAATGATAGTCGCTAGTACTGATTTGTCGGTAATAGACCCTCCCACCGCTTTTTCAACTTCTGACATTGACCAGTTAGTAAATGTGCGAAGATTGTTTCTTAGCCCAATATACAAACGTCTGTTAAATTTCGCGACGTCAGTTCTCTTTGAATGGAAATATATGAAAAGACTATTTTTTTTAACTGCGGATAAAGATATGAAAGTGAAGATGATCCTCCAGCTTTGCGTCCGGTCATCCCAAAGATCAGGGTTTGATTCCCGGTCAAGCCTTAATTTTTTCAGGTTCTGATGAAGATACGAAATTAGCCGAATATCCCAGCTTCCCAGTGTTGCTGTCGTTTTAAAGTTGTTGTTTTTCTTTAATCTAGCTTTCAACCGAATTCAAGCAAAGGCCACTTAACAGCATTGGGAAAGAATTTGCTGATGCTGGCAGAGCCCTAAAGTGTTTAGATGTTGATAAAGCAGAATGTTTTAACGCAGTGGTAAAAAGCATGCGGTTGGTGGAGTGGCTACGAAAAACGATCACATGTATGTGCTAACATAGTTTTATTTGAGTAAACTTAGGGCGATTTTCTTTTGACCATGAAGTCATGGCGCACGAAAAAAACGAAATCAACAAAGGAAGAAGAATGTAAGTAGTATTCGATTCGCTTATCGAACACATGCAAAAGGGCACGGCTCCTAAAGATGAGAATTGATGGCCAAATTCTGAAAGGTTTGAAACCCCCGTTCATTAATTTAATTACATTAGGGTCTTAGTCAGGACAGTCTGTAGTATCGGAGTAACCTTAGGGAACGCTACTAGGAGGTTATATATAACATATATGGTTGAATTCTTAAACGGGGTCCAGCGACGTGAATTTTCTGGAAACGAGTGTCAAATTTCAAGCAAACAAAGACGTTTGGATGTCTTTAACCGTCACTGACGTATTGAACATTTTAGTGTTCAAGTAAGGTGTAATAAATTGTTCTAATTTAGTCGTCTGTTTGGTCTGAATTTGGCCGCTAGTGTGATAAGTTAAGGTGCATTGGCGCTCAAATAAGGCAAAGTTTCAGCTAAGGATAGTGTAGTTAAGTGCTTTGGATAGTAACGTCTATAAAATACAGTCGAACCGATCCCGTGAGCAACCAGCTGACATTGAAAGATTGAGTAGTCCCTTATGGGAGGTTGTCGCTTCCAAGGGTCAAACGACAGGCGTATTTTCCAGAAGAGGTTCTGAGACATCTACTTTTTGGTAAGAATTTGTTACATGCAAGTTCTGAAATGCGATATGTGTAAAGTTCTTTGCATTCTGTTATTTACGTAGTAGAAACTGCCAATATAGAGATCAGACAAAGGGTCAAGTGATCGCCTACAAATGGTTAATGAAAAATTACAATGGAAAGTTACAAACGATCACTCTAAAAAGTGGTAACGGTTACTAGAGGTTCCAACTATATGGCTTTAATTTCGATAGGTGGTCGCCTTTGGCAGGTGGTTGCGTACCAGAGGTGGTCGCTCACGGAGGTCCGACTGAAGTAGAACTGCTAGGCTTTACTGTAATTCACAGCTCTCTTTCATCTGTTATGCAAGTAATTACTAATTTGGAAAGTTTTGAATGTTTGGTATTTTTGTAGCCCCACAGGAGCTTAAAGTTCTTGTGGACCTAGCGCTGATCACAGCCGGTGAAAGTGACATGGAAACTGATCGCATATCCAGTCTCCATACAAGCTGCTTGGGATTTGCTCCTTTGATATTTGACCTCAAAGAAACTAATGACCACAATGTTAGCTTTGACCAGCTGATGAAGGCTTGTGATCCAGTGTGGAAAGCTGTCGAGGCGGATAAAACACTGCCAAAGAAACTGGTATGAAGAGATGCTTTGTTTTCTTTTGATACGCTTTTTTTTGTGTCATGAGTTAAATCCTTAACCTGACTTGAAATCATCCCCCAAGTAAAAAATTTCAACACTCCAGGATGGAACCTTAGAGTCCATTGAAGGCAAGGAGACCTATTACATCGTCGAGACGTAAAGACCGTCTCGCATCGAATATTCTTTTTCCTGAAAACATTAGCATCAAAGCCCCTCTTTAATTGAATAGTGTCTTCTCTTAGACGATCACGATCGACAAGTTATTGATACTCTTTTTGTAACACCAATTACTCTGTTGTTTTGCCTTTTATCCGTAGGAAGACACTAGTCGGCATTTGGAATGGCTCAAGACTGTTAAGGAGTCTCATGGATCGGTTGCTATGACGTCATTGGCACAGGCTAAGACAATCAACAATAAGGGTGTGTATCTTGTGGGCTCTGTGGGTTCTGAGGAAGTTCCTGCAATGCAAAGTGAAGGTCGTCCATGTTTGGAAAGTTTTGTTCGGCTCAAGGTTCCTTTAAGAGACGAGGACGGAAATGACGAAACTAAAAGTTACTCCCTTGATGAACTGAAAGATTTGCAGAGCAAACTGATGCTGATTGCCGGGAAAGCCGAAAAAGGGAAAGATGACGTGGAAACATTTGTCAAGGTACGTATTTAAATTATTGCCAGGTTTCAAAGTTGTGTGTTATTTTCCTGGTTATTGACGTATCGTTTATGAAAGAGATTTTGTGTTTTGTGACAATAGCTTTGTGCCGTGGCCTTGGGTTATCATGGCGTGCACTCTTAACATTAAGTTCTTGCAGTATAAGTTGGTACTTTCCTGAAAAGGTTCAACTAATTGTGACCAAGTGTTAATTGTAAAAAGAAAACGCTTTATACTTCAATCAGTACCAGTCAGTTAAACTTGTCATTTTAGAATCTTGAAGGCGTCATGCGTCTAGCAACGGCTTACATAAACCTTTCCGAGTCTGGTTTTGTTCATCGCGTGCACTGGAAGCAGGAATTCCACTGCAGTAAAGATCAACGTGAAGGTGAATCAATTTCCAAGGAACTGGCAATTGCAAGCACGGCAATGGAGAATTGTTACTTGAACTGGAAAAAGAAAGTCAGCGACACGCGAAAAGAATTTCAAGAATTAAATTTCTTTACCACTCAGCAAATGATGCTCCTCAGGAGAGAAATAGCGACAGCTTGTCGCCGTAGTGACCTACACGTTGATAATCTCCAGATTTTAACCCTACTGGAAAGTGTTCGTCCCAATGTAGACACCGAGCTCTTAAAAGCGGCAATCCAGCGCGCATTTAAAGACACAGGCTTGTTAGACCAAATAAAACGGATGGAGGATCTTCCCTCCTTTTCTTTGACTCCCCATCAAGAGAAGTTTGATACAAGCACGTCATTGTTTGAGAACAATAACTACGTTGACAGGAGCCCTTCTACAGGAGTCACTTCACCTCAAGTTCAGAGTACTTCCATCAAAAACGAGAAGCCAAAAGACGTGTCAAAGATCCAGCGTTTTCTCAACGCAGCAGAAGATGAGGGATACTCGGAGCAAATCGCGTTGTCTGCTTTAGCGAGTTTGGGTGTAGATGCAGAAGAAGATGACTTGCTACTTTGGTGTTTAGAAGAATCTGATGACGCTGACCTGGAGTCTCTTTATGAAGAGGCAATGGCTAACCCTATCACTGTAAGAGAAATTTACCCTCAAGAAGTACTCGATGTTCAAGAAATACAACTTGAGGAAGCGAGGTATGATTCAGTTACAGTAATTTTAACTTTGATTCAGTTTTTCCATGAGAGATACAGTTTACTGTACAACCAAAACTACCGTAAGTTGTTTGCTCCTAAGTTTATGAAAGCGTCGCTGAGTCTACTCCAGCAACAAATGGTGCTCAAGAAACGACTCACTCAGGTCTGACTAATTATACACCTACAGTGTATGACAAATGACAAATGACGGATCGAAACGCATCGGTTTAGTTTATTATCAACCTCTTGCATTTTACAGGTTACCTGTGCTGTATGAAAAATCAACAAGAAATATTCTATATATTTGACGTTTAAAAAACTCACTCAATCTGTTGGTGTTTCATGTCATTAATAGCTCCTCCATGCCGTAAATAATTCAGACAGAAAAACAAAAGAAGATGAATGTCAGTTGTCTAATGAGTGTTTGGAAAACAAATAAAAAGCATCCCACCTCTACGTCTTTTGCCTGATACATTACTTCATGATCATAGGGATATTAAAGGCATTTCTGCTATATAACAGGATAGGGCAGGTAAATCTGTCTTTACTTAGAAAGTGAATGTTTGTCAGGCCAGCTTTCTGCGAGCTCCCAAGGTTGAAAAGTTGGAAAGAACGCGTTTTTGGACGTTTTTAAGTAACTGACATACTGACGACGCACATGTTACAAGTCAAAAATATATTCAGGTGAAAATTTCTCAACCTAGGTTGATTCTTAATTTCCTCTCTCTCCTAGCCCTGATTATTCATAAATTAGGGCTCGTAGACAAAGGAAATTGAGAATCAACCTAGGTTAAAAAATTTTAACAAAAATATATAACCTATAACACATATATTATCATAGGTATCGTTAAGCTCCTCAGAGCATAAATGCTGCACTTGGCGTACTTTATTCATGCTTGAGCTTGAACTTTTTGTGGATTAAAGTATTAAAACTGAATTGGTATTCCTTTACTTCAGGTGGCATTAGTTATAAAAATAGTGGTTTAAGTAATCATCCAGGTAAGCTGGAAAGCAGTTTCTTTGGTTATGCGGCAGTGTGCTTTTCGCACATAGGAATGTTCTGATTTTTACACAGAGAATGCTTGAATCTACAGAAAGGCCGTTTACGTGATAAAATGTATTTAGACTCCATTTTGGAAAAGGGTGCTCTTTTGTGTTAAAAGATTTTGACCAATCATGGGAGTTGCACACAATAGCCAAGAAAAGTTGACAATTTTACATGTTCTCCACATGGGATTTCTGTGTTATTCAGACTGACACGAGATTTTGTTATATAGGAGTTGCTTGGAAAAGTAAGGATAAATATATATACTGCTTTATGAAGTTTTCTTAACTTTTGCTGTTTAAACGAATCAGAAGTAGAGTACAGACAATAGTAAAGGTAGCATCTTTTTGCATTCCAGCATGTTCGAAGCCGTTGTTGCTTTCTTTCTTTTCTGGGCCGTAACTTAATGCTTGATTAGCGGTTTCAATGCATATCTATAACTCTACCTATAGTGAAGCTCTAAGGCAGTCTGAAAACGCCGTTGAGAAATCACCCATGCCTGCTGGAAGTATAACTGATGAAGGAGGAGACATGGATGAGGATAACGAAACTGAGATCAGCGAGTACCTTACTCTTGCCCAGCTGGGAAGCATCCTAAGAGAATTAGCAGTAAAGGGTAAGATATAATGTCAGCTGATAACATCGCTTTGCTTTTATTGTGCCCTTTTGTTTCGATCACAGATTTATACAATTTAAAAGTATATCATTATATTATTTGGACTTGCAACGTGAGATCGTGATGGAACATCCTTTAGTTTCTTTACAGTGCCCCTTAGCATGACGTCGTTTAAGTTATGGGCTTAAAACAAATGATAACTGGTTGTTTTTGGTGTGACTTCCAATTTCAGGTAAAGGAACCAAACCTCGTGTCTTTCCAGCTTTCCTAAAACGAGGAAGACCCAACCTCATGCTTGTTCCTAAAGGTAGGACTAGGTGCAAGTGCCTGGAGACTGTTTGCTTAATAACGTCTTCGTATTCCTTTGGTGAAATAGTTTATCATCCTCGTCTGGTTATTGTAGTCTAAATATGCCTCTTCAAGAAACGAAACAAATCGTCGTTTTCATTAATGTCTTATGTGCGTGCTCAAGAAGTGCTTATCAAGGACACAGGGCCAGGGTTGAGTATGAAACAGTGCTTTACTTCGAATCATCTTGGTTGAAAAAAAGCAATATTTTTTATCGCAAAAGGTCTTTCTCGCAGCCCCATTATGTTTCAATTGGGCTGTTTATGTAGGAAACTGTAGTGCTGAAGTAAAGAAATAAAGCTCATATTGAACATTTATTTACACACGTTTGCAGGTGACGTTCTTGCCACTGTCCTCGCACTGTATATGCATGACAAACATCAGCCCTTACCAAGCCACGAGGAAGTGCTTATTTGCACTCCTGAAACTACAGCCGAAGAAGTGAGTGTTTTGCAAGTAGTGCAATGTGTCTACTACTGTCCTTTTTACTCTGTAGATACACACCATTAAACTCAAAGTAGAACTACAAACGGTCCAGTAAGCCAAAGCGTGATGACTACAACACCATTCTGGGCAAGACTTTCTGTAGAAAAATGTACACACAAGTCAGTAGGTTCCTACTAGAGTACTAGACGCACATTTTCCAGTTGCAATTTACAAATTATTAATCACCAGTAGGTCTCCTCCTACCTATTAGATTCACAATTTCCAGCTCCAGTTCAAAAAATGCTAATCATTAATCAGTTGTTTGGTCCTTCCTTTTGGTTAATGAAAGCACCTCAAGCCTTTACAAGGCTTCTGAAGTCAGAGGATTCCTACTAAGTTCAAGACGCACATACTTCAGTCCCATTTTATGAAACATTAATCACTAATCAATTACAATTGCCTGGTCTCCGCTGTGTAGCTGATGAAGGCACCTCAAGTCTTAAAGAAGTTACTCAAAACGGTAGTTACTTTCTTAGGTACACAACGCTATTTTTACATTTTCACAAAATACTTATTTTTAATCAATTTTCTGCTTCTTCCCTTTGGGCGAATAAAGGAACCTCAAGTTTTTAGAAGGGTACTCAGGTCGTATCTAGATAAAAGATGCACATTTTCACTTCTAGATCATAAAATATTAATCAATTATCAATGTCTCCTCCTCCCCATCTGGCTATTGAAGGTGCTTCAAGTCTTGACAAGGCTACTCCGGGCAGTAGCTTCCTTGCTACGTAAAGTTATTGGTAAATAGTTTACCGCAACTATGTATCTATTGTAGCTTCCATCAAAGATGAGGCGTTGCTTCTTTAATTGCGTTGAAAATCCTTGGCGTTGCTATTGGCTAGACAAAGTCTTTGCGCCACAATCCTTTTCTTTCCCTACGTTACAATTTTTTTGGAAACAGCATTAGAAAATCACGGGCCTTAACAGAGGGTGAGGCAGTGAAGGGGGAGGGGGGGGGGGGGAGGGCTCGGGGGACTACATTTTGCTTTGGTTCTTTGATGGATAGCCTTGATGATTGTAAGCAAGTAGGTTGTAGGATAATGGTTCTGTTTTCTTCTATTTGGACCGTACTCTTTTCATTCATTTTATTTTCACATAGAGGTTACTTTCACTTAGGAAATTTTTAAACTGTCCACAAAGTTTTTATATCAAAAAAATAGAAATTCATGACCATGAATCTTACCAGGCTTCTTCTATGTATTTATTTATTTGCCCTGATCAATGACATAAATCTTAAAAGTAACATTGAAAGAGGAAACTTATGAATTAATGTACAAATATGATCAGTGATATCTGGATAATCAGGTCAATCCAGGGAGAATACACTTGCCTCTTTCCTCTACCACAATACTGGCACATTGACCCGCCAGAATTCTGAAGCATGTCACACAAATGATAAATAACCGTCTTTCATTATTGATACACCTGTAACAGGTGAACCTAACCCTTTCCCGAACTTTTAGTTTGAGGTCACCGTTTGCTGAAACGGTATTCGTTTTAAGACTGTTTAAAAAGGATTTTTATGCGTAATTGTGAATTAATGCAGAGCATGGGGCACATCTACAATGACTAAAGGCGGTGTTACCAATGATGGTATCGACCGTTAAAAGTGGCATCGCCTTTTTACCAAAGAAAATAGCCGTCGCTTTGCAGAACTGGTAAATTGTAACTTCAAACGTTCTTGAGGTGGCCAAGGAACATTTAACCTTTTTTTTTGTTCATTATGCGTTTCGGTTTAGGTAGAACTGTTTTGGAGACGAGCAATAGGAGACTTGGAAGGTGGATTTTACTGCCTGGTTCACGCTGACCAGTTGGACTTCTCTGTTAGCAAACAAGCAATTGATAAACTCGGTGTTTTGACACAAGGCCTTGCTGGTAAAATGGGTGAAAGTAAGTAGAGGTTACAAAACAAAAAAATCGTTTGCAGTTTATAGTAGTAATCAATATGGGTACACTTAAAGATAAGACTAAGGCTTCAATGCTTTGTATGTGTATTAATTGTAATTTTACATCATCGCCATTTGCAGACTATGGTTTGGTAGTTATGTGTAGCAGTGAAAACGAAGACCGTGCCAACATAGTAGCAGCCCTTGATCAGTATCGTGTAGCTGCTCCACCTTGCCCTTCCTCAAACGATCTTCAGAGCTACTTAAAGAAGCATCTCCGAATCCCTACTCAACAGTATGGGTACATCAATAGCAGTAAAATTACGTGGGAACCGGCGGGTACCTTGGATCCAGAAAAGTAAGCTTAAAACATTTATTCAAGAAAATGATCATTTATTTGTGAAGGTTGTATCTGCTAACTAATGCCTTGTTGGTGCTTAGGCTCTGTGTTCGAGTTGTCACTTCGAAAAGAGGGGGCTTGGGAAAAACGCTGTACGTTCGTCGTCTGACAGACCAGCTGCAAAACCTGGAGAACAACGACATGGTTGTGTGCCGTGACTCAGGCATATCACTTCATGTCACTGTACCACTTCATGGAAATTCTACCGACTCCTCCATGCTTGTAGATTCCCTTTTGCCTCATGCGACAAGGGCAAATGTTCCGCTTTCTCGAGTTTTTCATTTGGATGTGGCTCCTTCGGTAAGACATGAAAATTGATTATTTGTCTCGATTATAATACCTTGATTCAGATACATATGTCAATTTGCAGATATGTGTAGTGGCGACCAACATTTTAGAAAACTCTGGGTGAAAGGGCTTTAGTAAGTGAAGCCTTTAAACTTTTGGAACATTTACATCTACAGTTTTCTGGTGAAAACATATTGCTCTAATTTGGCAGTTAATAGAACCACAGTTAAAATCAGTAATAGCTGTATGCCAAACATCAAACAAAACATCGACTGTCATAGCAAATCCACTGTACAGTCACGAATGAATATGAACGAGTCTCAAAAATTGTGCAACTGCAGAAAACCTTCTGACTGCCCCATGAATGGCCATTGCCTCAGAAATCCATTGTATATCCAACAACCTTAACTACAGGAGACAGCAAACCTGACGAGACTTACGCTTGACTAACTGAAAACACCTTTAAGACCCGTTTAGCGAACCAAAAAGCATTATTTTAACAACCCTAGCAAAAGAACGAGCACCGAGCTAAGTAAGCATGTATGGAACCTTAAGACAGTAACATTAGCATCCGGATCACCTGGAATATTTTGAAGCAGTCTATCACCTTTAAACCCTCTTCCAAATGGTGTAATTTATGTCTATGAGAGAAGTATTTTATAATCTGTAAGGCCCATCTAGCCACTCTTAACACCTGCAACGAGCTTGTAACTTCGTGAAGACACGCTGGTAAAGTTCTGTGGAAAAATTTCACGTCCCCTCTGGTTACACAATAGAATACACAGAAACAGCGTTGTATCCGTAGTAACTACATTTTAAAATTTCAGTTATAATCAGCGTTCTGTTATAATCTACCATGATGATATCTTATCTGAAGAGTGCTACACCGTCGTGTATTACGAAACCATATAGTAGTAAAATGCCTGGTCAAATGTTCAGTTGATAATTAAAAACATTGTACTTCTGGTATCCTCGCGCTAGTCCTTCTATTGGAACTCTGAAATCAGTTCTGCATCAGCTGAAATCAAGTATTGACAATTGTCCCTGGCTAAACAAGAGCATAAAGGTGACTATGCGCCAGCGTGATTATATTCACAAAAAAGCAATCAAAAGCAATGCCTCAGAGCATTGGGCAAACTACCGCCATTTTCGCAATCGTGTGACAAAAGAAATAAGGTCAGCGAAAGCGTCTTACAATAACGGCTCATCGAGGAAAGTGGTGGTGATCACAGATCGTTTTGGAAGACGATTAAGAAAATCCTACCGGGAGAAAAGAAAGCTACTTCTCCAAACATTAAAGTGGACGGCGTTGTCTCTTCTGACAAACAATACATTGCCAACGCTTTTAATAAGTTTTTCGCATGTTAAAAGATTCTGCGGACATTGTAGCTAAGCCTGTGGCGTTTATTATCAACACCTCGTTACGTACTGCCCAAGTTCGCAGTGATTGGAAATCCGCACGGGTCATTCCACTCTTTAAAAAGGGAAAGGCTGATGAGATGGACAATTATCGCCCGATTTCCATTTTACCTGTTCTATCTAAGGTTTTAGAACGGGCTGTACATATCCAACTCTACAAATATCTCCAGCAAAACAAGATCTTGAGCCCTTATCAGTGCGGGTTTCGGAAGTGTCACTCGACAGAATTCGCTGCTCTTAGTTTTTCTGATAATATTCGTAGGAACATGGACCAAGGTCAATTAACTGGTGCTGTGTTTATTGACCTTCGCAAAGCTTTCGACACTGTGGATCATGCGGTACTTCTGGACAAGCTTTCCAATTTGGGGATTTTGGATAAAGAGCATGGCTGGTTTACGGATTACCTGTCGAACCGCACCCAAGTTGTAGAGTTTCAAGGGGTGACTTCTGCTTCGGAAGCCGTCTCTACTGGTGTGCCTCAGGGCTCTATCCTCGGACCATTATTGTTTATTCTACACATTAATGATTTACCTGAAGTAGTGTCCGATTGCAATATTCTGATGTACGCTGATGACACTGTTTTATACTGTTCATCCTCTCAAGCCTCTGTCATTCAAGACAAGCTGAATGCCGAACTGTCTAAGATTGATCACTGGCTTTCTTTTAATAGTCTGTTTGTTAATGTAACAAAAACCGAAGCTATGCTTTTCGGAACCGCCCCTAGATTATCTGCTGTTAACTCTTTTTCTATTACTTTAAATAACAATGTAATTAAGCGGGTTTTTCACTTCACTTATCTAGGTACAGTTTTTGATGACCGCCTTAGCTGGAACGAGCAAATAAAGTACCTAATTTCGAAGCTGGGAAAACGCGTAGGAATGCTCGGCAGGCTTCGCAGAAGCCTCACTAGAGAAAGTGCAAATGTAGTGTACTGTAGTCTAATTAGGCCAATTTTAGAATACTGTGTAAGTGTGTGGGGCTGTTGCGGGGAAGGTCGTAAACAAGACCTTGAAGCCCTCCAAAACCGGGCTGCTAGGATAGTGGCTTGTACTATGCGCAGCAAGCAGGCATTGGACGTTCTGAAATGGCCCACCTTGGAGGAGCGCCGACGTCAATCTGTTTTTAAACTCGTTAAGAAATGCCTGCAAGGTCAATGTCCCCAGTATTTTAAACAATATTTTAAACGTAATAATACAATCCATGCGCGCGCTATTAGACAAAGCAACCTCTTACATCCGCCTGCTGTGAAAACTGAAATTGCAAAAAGATCCTCCTATTATTATGGTTGCACTCTTTTTAACGAATTATCTTAATGATATTTCGTGTTTTACATCTTTTAATCTTTTAATTTAAAATAGTTTTCTATTTATATTATTACCTGTATTAGTGTAAAGTTTATATGTATAGTGTGTTTTTGTGCGTTGTTGCTCAAGGCTCCCATTGATAACAGACAACTTTTTGCGTCTGAAGGGGCTACCCTGAGCGGTATAAATTTATAAAGGTTCTTCTTCTTCTTCTTCTAATCTAGTATTTGACTCATTGTCTTTTTATTTCCCTGCTAAGATGAGGCGTGGATTAGACACTCTCCTTTTTAACTTACTTGTTCTCGGTTTTCTCTGCGACACAATGGGAAGAGTTTGGAGGAGACGTATGACTGATTTGTATGTCATTGAAATTACCACAGCCTCTCCACTCCCCACAGGATTCAGCAGAGAGGAAGAAGCTGAAAGTCTAGAGGTTGGTAAACTTGTTTTATGTTGCAAATAATCTATTGAAAAGTTTAATAAACCTGTTGTATGTACTAGTGAATCATTTTTCTTTTGCACATACTCCAACTTAGATACTAAATCCAAGGCTTATCTATAAATTCTTGTCTGCTATTTGTTCTTGCTTTTCAGAGTGGGTCTGCTAGATCTTCGAAAAGACCGTTCTATGATCTTCTGCCCACTATTATTTGTTCTTCTCCGAGAACTGTTTCCTGTCGTTTAGCAACGAAGCAAGGTATAATTATTATTTGTTTGAAAAATAAATTATAGTCTCAGAAGGTCTCAGATTTGTTAGTATTGTAGCTTTCAACTGTATCGCACATTCTCCGAGTGTTGTCACCTCGGTTACACCCGTTACAAATAAAAGATTAAGCATCGCAGGAAGTTCATAACCCCCATCTCTATTTTGAGAATAATATTTATCTTTTCCAAATTTTAATTCCAAGGTCAAGAATGAGCATTCATGGAATTATTAATTACTATTTGTAGTCCTTTTATCTCCTTGTCATCCGAAGGTTATTCCTGGGATAAAATTTGCATTTTCATTCTCTTCAGATCCACGAGACATAAATCCTTTGTTTGATGCCAAAGAATTTCGAAGTCCCCAGTTTCAGAGGGTTTATCAATATCTCAAGCTCTCAAAAGAGGGAAAAAACATGGACAACTTCACATTTGATCCTGGTAATATCGACGAAGATCAAATAAAATGCCTCTCACTCATGCTCAGGTCTGTAAAATGCTTTAGTTTATTCTTTTCGTATTTAGTTTTCATTTATTGAACTCTGAGGCGCCCCATGTAAGGGAACCCGGAATCTAACAATTTTTTTCCCGTGGATTCCGGAATACAGGTGAAGGAATCCGGAACCCACTAATGATTTTGGGCCCACAATGTAAGCTACTGGGCTAACCAGTAATTGTGTAAGCCATTAAAGTGCTATTTATTTATTTGTTTATTTGATTGGAATCTTGGATTCCCTTGCATTGGGGGATCTAAGTAGTTTTTTAGTTTTTGTAATGTTTCCATTATAAAACTTCCATCTACCTTATCGTGTTTTCCAATGCTTGTCATATTTCTTACCAAGTGATTAAGTTCTACTTATTATATGGCAAAGCTAGTCTTAGGCAAATCCGTGTGCTCTGATTGGTTCTTTCTCGGTCGGGATTTTGCAGTACGGGCCGTTCCATGAAAACGGTCGAAGCCGTGTATTTTTGTTTTGGAACAAAGCCGGGCAATTCAAAATTTGCAACCAAAACAGCGAAAAAATTTGTGAATATTGTCATTCTTCACATCGAAACTACCAGAAAAAGTTAAAAAGATTGAAATTTTACCGAGATTTCAAAGATTGATGAAGATGACGAACATTCTGCGAGCGAGTTTTATTATCCGGAAGATCTGGAAACTTTTGATGCAGAAACTGAAACAGGCATCACCGAAAGCCAGGAGGCCATAGACGATTTTATCAACCAACAGAAAAGTGCAAACACAAACAAGAAGACGGCTGCTGACATGAACACTCCTCTCCGCTACATGAAAGCTAATGGTACGAAAAATGAGAAAATTGAAAGCTTACCTAGGTCCGAGCTTGACCACCTTTTGTCGAATTTTTTTCTGAAGGCACGCAGGAAAAACGGAAAAGAATACGAGCCAGCATCAGTTTTCAGTTTTCAGCACAGTATACAGCGATACTTGAGTGAGAAGAAATATCCATTCAACATGCTCAAGGACAATGGGTTCGAAAAAATCCAGAAAAGTCCTTGCAGCGACGCGAAAGTCACTTGTGTTCACGAGCACGGCGAGGCAGCAAACCGCAAGCTGCTCAGGCCATCGACGAAGACGAAGAGGATGCCCTTTTTGAAGCAGGAGAATTTGGCGAATCCAATCCAACTGCGCTGTGGTGGGTTTTATCCCTACACTTCGGTTTCCGAGCAAGAGAAAACATCAGTCAAGCAATCCGTTACTGTCTTCCACCGCTCCAGTTTTAACAGGTGCAAACGAAGGATCCATCAGCCGGTACACATAATTTCCAAATATTTCATGGTAATGTGAAAATTGACAAGAATGAAAGGAAGCGTCGAATTGTTATCGAGAGCGATGAGGACGATTGACTTTGACTGGCTATTTCTTGTCAACTTTGTCCAGTTTTGAAGTTTCACAGCTCCAAACTTTCACTTGACACTGCTTCATCCATACGTTGTAAAGCGTAATAATCAAGAAAATATTGTTTGATCGACAAAAAACCCTTTCTCGAATTTTGGAATCAACAATTGCTTCTGTCAGATTCCGTTACAAACGATTTCACATTCAATTAATTTATTTTTCAAACTCGTGGTAGCTTGCTTTCGTCTGAGTTGCTTGCGTCATCAAGAATACGCCACGGCGGAACCCCTTTAAGTGCAAGCCAGCGGAAGTGCATTTTACTATCAGAAACCGAATGTCATATAATAAACAACTTTCTAACCGAGCTTGCTCGAGCCGTACTGGGGAATACTGGCCCTCGGGCCAATAGTCCTCAGTACGGCCCTCGCGCTCGGTTAGTAAGCGGTTCCTATTTCTCTTCAAAAATTACAATCCAGTGTTATAATGGCAAGGGTTCATTCCTTTTTTTGTTTGTTTGTTTGTGTATTTGTCTTTTCCTCATTGTGTCTGATGTATAGTTGTAATAGTTGTGCAACACCTTTTTGTTCACACAGTAATTGCGGAATTCCTGATCCTTCTTGGGCGGAGATTCGTCACTTTGTAGGCTTCCTAAACTCTCAGTTACACGATTGTGAACAGAGTTACTTCTGCGATATGCAGCTAATGAGAAGCGTTTTGGCAGGGCCTAACGTGTTAAATTTAGAGGGATTTCGATCATTTGTGGTGCGCTTCATGATACAAATGTCGCGGGTAAGATATTGCACAATTTGTGGCATCACACCTCGTTGTGACTTTTTGCATGCAGATATCGTGTCAACTTTAATGTTCCCTTGCAACTGAAGTTAATCGGGGAAAAGATCGAAACACACGTTGCTGCAATCTCATTCTTTGCGCTTCGATTTTCTTTTCCTCTACTGTTGCAGATATTTTTAGGTTGGTTGAACGTTTTTTAATAGAGGATAATAAACGGGGTTGCTACAGGTCAGAAAACGGTTAGGGAAAAAATTCTTCGAGGTCAGGGAATTCCACTTTAAGACAAGGAAAATTTACGTCTTCAAGAAAAGTCAGGGAAAACTGAAACTTTATAGTACAAATTATTTCTTTTCTCTCTACTTTTGTACATTTTATGGACACAAATCATATCTTATTGGTAGAATATTGTTAATGGAATTGAACGACAAGCTAATGTTGGGTTTTCAAGAAAATCAATCCTTTTTACATATTTTGTTAAGGAACTATCAATAAAGCGTAAATAAATGGGTTTAGCGGATGGCTGTTAGGGGAGGGTTGAGTCCATTATCAGGACTAATTTGAAAAACTGGTAATTCAGTTTGTCATGAATATTTTACGTTTGTCAGAAAAAACTCGAAAAAGTCAGAGAATTTCAGAAGATTTTGGCTGTGGCAACCATGATTAATGGTCTCGCCTTTCACGTTTATAACCAAACACCTGGGATTTTACATTAACTTGTCTGACGTTTCCTTCAAGGATTTTGCCACTCCTTCCCTGACGGACGATAACACCGTATTTTATACAGAAGACAATGCAGAACTCGAACGAAGAGAAATAGAGCAATTTCAACTTCGGCGAAGCTGGGAGACCAGGTGAGCTAACTGAAGATGCTTCTAGAAAAACATGTACCCCTTGAATATACTCTTTAGGTTTACGTCAAACGGCAAGGAGCTAAATGTCATCATCTGATCAATTTACTGAAATAAAAAGCTTCATGCCAGTTTTTTGTACACGAATTATTTTGCGCAGTTGTTTCTGCTTATTTCTTAATTATAGTAAAGAACAAAACGCGTCAGTAGGGATTACCTAAACGAACAGGAAAGAATGGTGGATTTTGCAGTTGATGTCCGTTGCGTTACAAACGTTATCATGACTAGCAAATGTCGATTTACCATAGATTGATGAATTAAAAGGCCTTTTTATAAATGGAAATCAGTCTTCATTTTCTACTAATATCTCGTCATATTCTTGTTTGTTGTGCCCTGCAGCCCACATCCTTATTTGTTTTTCAATGAAGATCGTGTGACAATGACCTTCCTTGGATTTTTCATAAACTCCGCTGGGGACCTCATTGATCCACAAACAATGCGAATGTTAGAGAAAAGTTTGATGTCTAAACAACTACGTAATGGACTGCAGGCTCAGCGGGTTGATTTTACTACAAACCCGGAGAACTGGAAAAAGTAAGTGGTAGTTTTTTTTAATACGTGTAGCATCTATGAGATTTATCATGATCTTGATCTTAGTTACCGATCCGATGCCGATAAGACTGGGTGTCTTAACCATTAGGAATCGTGGAGCATCTTTTTCAAATTTTCGGCGAGGTTAATACGTTATCCAAATAGACATCTTTTAATTAAAACGTACATGACGGACCAGAAACACAGTTCTGATGTCTTCCAAACAAAATCACTGAATCAAATATTTCAACTATACACGGTTATACTCAGTTAAGAGTCCCAACGTGCAGGAGGCAGAAAGGTTAGCTTCATACAAGCGTGGCCGAGTTGTTAAAAAGGGAGCTACCGATAAAATCACGGCTGAACTGAACGTTCATCGCCCAGGCCGGTTGACCACGTGGCCTTGCTCACCTTTTCTTCCTCTTCACTTGTGTGTGCGTTTTCCTCTGCGTTGTGATGTAAAGCGAACATACCTTTCTTCTCTAGGGTGGAAAAGATTAGTCAGCTGTGTTCGGTAATGGGTGTAAAGTGGAATCTTACCAATCCTAACTATGACCCAGACCACGCCTATGAACTGACTACAGACAATGTTAAAAAGATCTTAGCCATTCACATGAGATTTAGGTAAGTCTTCTGTCTATTGTTAATTTTTTCTGCCGTAAGAAGTTGACCATTTTGTGTTTTGTGGCCCTGTCTAATTAACCGGATTTATGCACTTATTGTGTTTCCAAACACAGAGTTCAACATCTAATTTAATGGATACATAAATCAACAGGTGCAATATTCCTGTGATCGTGATGGGCGAGACAGGCTGTGGAAAGACTCGTCTTATTCGGTACATGTGCGGTCTACAGGCGGGTCCTCAGGAAAAAGATCAACCAAGAACACGAAATATGCTACTTGTGAAGGTAAGATGGCTGCTGACCAGTGGCTCATTTTACATTTTTCCTTGTGCTTTGAATAGGATGAAATCAGTACTGCAAATCATAAACCATAAATGACAACTAAAGTAGCTATTAGTTTCGGCGACCAGCAATCTTCCAAAGTCCCTGTATAATTCTTTACTCGATTAGTTGCAATTGATAGCTGTAATTAAGTGTCGTTGTAAAAAGAAAGTACCGAAGGTTACACCTAGGAACATGTTATCTAACTACTTAAGTTCAGAACTGTAGACCATTTTAGATAATGCAATCCGATGACCATGCATTTTGAATTCACTTAAAAGACACAGAAAGATAGGTTTCACCAAAAGGGGAATTTTGTTGTACAGAATCCCGACGATTTGAGTGCGGAAGAAATCTCCTCTACCCATAACCTGGTTTTCATAAGTCGGGAAAATCCTGAATGATGGAGGATTTGACTATTGCCTCCCCAGATTTTCTTGACTGTGGAAACTATGCAAATTCTATCTCTTATTCAATTCCCCTCCACATTTCTTCGATGATCGGCGATGAGAACTCGAATTTGTGTCGAGGATCGATGAGCGGTCATTTTTGCCCGGACCCAATAATTTAACTACTTTTATTAGGTCTAGTCGTTTTTAAAATTGATCAATTGTCATTAATAATTCTCTCCTGTTACGAGGTACATGGAGGCACCACATACGAAGACATTGAACAGAAAGTTCGGCAGGCGGAAGACATGGCTCGTGAGAATCAAGACAAGAAAATCGACACAGTTTTGTTCTTTGATGAGGCCAACACCACTGAGGCACTGAGCATGATTAAGGAGGTGATGGTAGACAGAAGGATTCGTGGACGAACCATAGGACGGGGTCTTAAGAGACTGCAGTTTATTGCTGCATGTAATCCATACCGAAGGTGATGTACAAAGAATTTTATTCCCAGCAAAGTAAAATTCATCGAAGAATCTTTTTGTGACTTGACACGTGATTTGTCTATGTTCCCCTAATTGTCTGCCTTTGATTCAATTCGGATGTATACAATGCCTGGCCTGTCCTGGCCTAATCCGGCTGCTCTGTGCCTATTCATAGGCACATAAAGCGTGTCGAAGCTGGGCCTCAGTTGCCTCTGCTTATTTTCCACAAACTATAAAGAAAGACATACAAAGGTGTATCAATTCTTTTTAGAATTCCAACTGTGTAGAGAAACAATTTCGCTGATTCTTGGTGCATGACCTTGTTTATAGGCACACGGACGATATGATTCACAAGCTGGAGTCAGCAGGGCTTGGTTACCACGTAAAAACGGATGAGTCAGATGATCGTCTCGGTATGAATTCAAGTTCTTCGTAGCTCTTTTCTGGCTCAGTAATCGGTAGATACTTAGGGGCGCTGCCATTCAGTTTGTTGAAAACATGAACGGTTTATGGGTTCACCTTGCAGGCATGCCACGTTAGTACATCTACGAAAAACACGGAATTTGCCATCTCTTAATATGTCCAAATTTAATTTGGAAATTCGTCCACGGTGTCAGGTCTGCGTGCCTACCAAACGTAAGGAGCTTTGTTTTTTTCCACAGGACATATCCCGTTACGTCATCTGGTTTATCGCGTGCATGCCCTTCCAGGGAGTATGCGCCCTCTGATTTGGGATTTTGGTCAGCTGAATCAGCAAGTGGAAAGCCTTTACACAAATCAGATTGTCAGTCGTTATGTGAGTACTTGGAAGGTGCTATTATTATTAAGGGATCAACTAGTGTTTTACCAAAAGCTTACTGGTTAAATTGTTTTTACAATACGGCATATGTCGCACGAAAAATCTCTTCCCGGCTGAAACTAATTAGATTTAATGTTATATTTTCATGATCTTAAACCACAAATTGCTTATTGAAAAAGAACAAAATCCATTATTTTTCTTCAACAAGGCCGATCAACGCCTTTAACAATATTTGGATCACACTTGATGTTGGATTTTCGAGAGTATTTGCAAGTTGTTCATACTGAAAAAGAAGCCAGATGATACAATAATCAATTATGGATTTAAGCTCGGTTCGTCCATTATTTAGTGTGATGTTTGCTGAGACCAACTCAGATCACGCACGTTTACAACAATCCGTTGATTCCCAGTCTTTTACATAAGTTGTTTGTGTCAGTTGAATATTTTACCCTTTTTCGTCATATGTCAACTCGCAACTGAACAGCCTTTATAAATTAGGATTGACCGATATGAAAATGACCTTGAATGTAGCAGCGGCTAAAGTTTGTTTAAATACGTGATCCTTAATTATTGTAGATTCTGCACGAGCGTCAGTTGCCTGGTGAATCATCGACTGTCCAGGCAGTGGCAGCAGTTTTAGCGGCATCGCAGAAGTACATGAGAGACCAGTCGGTAAGTTGCAAGATTTCATTTCCAAAATCCTGTTTCGTAAGTTATTGTTGTACGAAATGGGTGCAAAACGCAAGGCGCAAGGCGCAAGGCGCAAGGCGCAGTGTTTTCAGTGATATCCAGCCACGGGAATGTGGGTTGACGTCTCGTGGTGTCTGGATAGCGCATAAGACATATTTTCCAGTGCTACATACAACTTGTAGTCTGCTACACAGCCGTTCTTTGTGTCGTCAGGCAACTGGAGGAGGGTTGCGTGACGACACAAGGAACGGCAGAGTTGCAGACTATTATAGCTTGTGAAGTGAACATTCAGGCTAAGAAGCGCAAAAAAAGAGTTCGCAAAACATTTGTCGCAATAAGTATCCGATTTCCAAACCTTCTTTATAGTAGCTGTCGCTGTCTGTAGTTTTATCTACTCTTATTTTGAAAGTAGTTTTTCATTTAGTTCTTGCATAATAACGATTGGATAAAGTGTGAGCATGCAGCACGTTCCGAACAATGTTGACTTGAAGTCAACAATGTTAACTTCAAGGGCACATCATGGCTCACTTACTCCATTTCCATTGTAGTGGTCCTTTCGGTGGTCGTGTCGATTTTCTCTACCCATTATTCTGCCAGTCATGAAATTCGGGGACCTGCTTTTAAACGAGGACCATGCTTAGCCTATTATATTGGATGGAGAAGACAGTGTTTCTAGACAGTAATTACCAGACAATAATTAGTCAATAGCAAGATCTTACCAAGTAGTAACATTCTTTTATCATCGAAAGGATGAATGCAGCTTTGTTAGTCTACGTGACGTGGAGAGGGCCATGCAGGTAATGGTGTGGTTTTATACACACGTGGATACTCTTGGAAGATTAATGAAGATAGTGATAACTGAACAGAGAAGAGAAGAAGGCGAAGAAGTGGATGACGATGAGGAAGAAGAGGTAATTATGGCGTGTCTACTTGATAGCTCAACTCACGTGATTGGCTATATATATTTGGAAATTTCTATATGTTTTGTTTCGATTAAAAACTTTTTAGCCCCGAGGTTCTCGAAATCATTTTGAATGAACCATAAATTTGCAAGAAATGGCATAAAATTTTCAATGAAATTTTTGGGTTTAAGTTACATGACCGTTTTGCGTTTTCCTTGGTCTGTTTGAATGAATCGCGTTTTTTCTGGTCTAGTTAGAAAAATCCTCTTTCCCTCTTCAAGTTGGGGTGTCAAAACTGTCAATGATCGTTTAAAATAGCTGATGTCAGACGTTATGCAAGAGATGTGGGTTTGAGCAGTAGAGATGTGATACCTTGAAAGTGATCGATGCACTCAATAAGCATTTTAAGATAAGGTTGAAGAAAATTTACTTGCTTATCTGCAGTTTTATAAACTGCATTTACTGAGAATATCGGTCAGTGCGTTTATGGAAAGCATAAGATACACTTAGAATAGCACGGTGCGGTTAGGTCTGTAATCTTCGTGATGGGAGTTATAGAAAAGCAAAGTGAACCTTGGTGATTGTTTTCTTGCAGGAGCCTATTGACACAATGACCCGGGCTCTGGTACTCGCCATTGGCGTCTGTTATCACGCCAAGCTGCAGGAGAAGCGTCAAGATTACCGAAAGGTGGTGGCACAGAGCTTCAAAGCTCCGTGTGTACTTCCTGGCGGAGAGAAACAAATTCTTCGTGAAATAACAAGGTCTTTATTTTCCTAATCAATAGGACCCTTGGGCCTTTATCGAATCGGCCAGAACAGTTTGATATCATTTGAAGGTGGAGAAACAAGTGCAAATGAGTCAATGATCCAGGAAAAAATCACTCGCTTCGAATCACTCGCTTTCGTCGCTAGTAACTGCTTTGATGAATACACGCAGTGATTATAGTGACAAACCTAAACTTAATTAAATTCTACCTATTTCGAGCCTATTCTTAACCCTATTTACTATATGGTTAGTGCTTAACCCTTTTGCCATTTAACCACTTTGGCCATTGTCCAACCCTAATCGCTTTTGTCTGCGCTGAACCATAATCACCGTGGTCAATGCTTAAGCCTTATTATCATTTCCAGTGCTTTACCCTGACCCTTGTTCAGCCCTTGTCACTATTGTCAGTAGTTAACCTTTATCACTATTTTCAGTTCTTTACCTTGAACTGACTTATAACTTGGCTGGTAATTCATTGACTGATAAGACTCTTCAAACTCATCAAAGAAGCTTTCTCTTGAAAGTGACTACTAGGTTTTTAAATGGATCCAATAATGTTGAATGACATTAGACTGAATTCTAACATCCATTTAAACAGAACATCATGGTAAAGGAAACTCTTTAAGAAAGCCTGCAGAAAAATTATCGATTTTCTTTAATTATCCAATAACGTTCAAGCTAGTTTAAGCTATTCTACCATTTTTGGACGAAGGAACATGTTGATGTTTTGTTTAAATACTGCCGACTTTCTCCAACATGCTACTGATCGGGATATTGGCGTGAATATAAGTAATTATCCTTTTTTTAGCTGTCAGCGAGCTGTGCTTAACGAGTTGGAACTCGGCCCTAACATCGCACGCAATGCAGCTCTAAGCGAGAATGTGTTCATGATGGTAGTGTGCATTGAACTCAGGATTCCGCTGTTTGTAGTTGGAAAACCAGGCAGCTCCAAATCTTTAGCCAAGACTGTTGTGGCTGATAACATGCAAGGCGATGCCGCCAGATCGAAGCTGTTCAAGAATTTTAAGCAGGTGAAAACACAAGCACATTTTGACATTCGCACTGAAGCCATAACTAATATTCACGCGTCTGTTAGATTTTAACCGTTCTAAAGGAGCAAAAATTGCCACCAAATAGTCTTAATGCTCAAAAGGAATGCATGTCCAAACCTGAAAGCAGTGATTTTTGCTCCGTGCTGTGTACTCTGTTAAGCCTGTTAACTCATAGTAGATGGTATTCGATGCTACTCCTGACAGCAGGTTTTTTTCGTGGTGTAGTTGGCAAATTTAAAAAAGGCAAATGCTTTTATTCGCAGGTCCACATGGCCTCCTTTCAGTGCAGTCCTCTTTCAACTCCTGAGGGAATCGTGGCGACCTTTCGCCAATGTAGCAAGTTACAGGAAGGCAAAAACCTAGAGAGTTTCGTCTCAGTCGTTGTCCTTGATGAAGTTGGTTTGGCAGAGGACTCTCCTTTAATGCCTCTGAAAACACTTCATCCACTGCTGGAGGATGGCGTAACCTCTTCTGATAACGTAATCGAGACGGATGAAAAACCACAGCGAGTGGCGTTTATTGGGATCTCGAACTGGGCCCTGGACCCCGCCAAGATGAACCGCGGTATTATGTTGTCGCGTGGAGTGCCAGACGTTAAAGAGCTGGTAGACAGTGCCTTGTAAGTCATTTTAGATTTTCTACCACAAAACTCTATTATATGATCGCACCTGCCTGTACTCCTCTCGAGAAGTACCAATATTATCATGAAAATAGTTAAAGAAGAGGATGAATAAGTTTTCCTCTTTGTTCCTTCTTGAATGCCAAGTCCTTCAACCCCACTCTTAGTCTTTATCGCTCAAACCTATTGTTTGATATTTGCAGGGGAATTTGTTCCACAGATGCACAGGTTAAACTTGCTATTCAAATCCTGATATCTCCTCTGGCAGAAGGATATGCAGAACTTTACAGAGAACAGAAAAATTTTCCAACGCTACAAAAATGTGGCAAAGAAGAATTTTTTGGACTTCGTGACTTTTACAGGTGAGCAGTGGTCAGGCACTAGCTTGTGTAAATCTCGCGACTGTTGCTGTGCGTATTTATTATTATTTTTTTGTATTATGTCGTAGTCTGATCAAAATGGTGTATGCAATTGCTGCCAAATCCGGGCAAAGACCAATGTGGAGTCAACTTGAACACGCTATTAGGAGGAACTTTGGTGGGCTGGTTAAAGGCGAGCCAGTGGAAATATTCAAACGACACTTTCAGGTCAAAGATGTAAGTATAAAAAAAACTGGAACGGAGGAAAGTACTTTTGTGAAAGATACTTAGTCCTGGGATCAAACTGAGCGAAACCCACCGGTGTCGACCATGAGATGCATCTGTAACATCACAAGAAAAATATCTTATCATCGAGAAAGAAATCCACATCCATTCTTCCACTCTAGCATACGTTTAACGTACTGGTATCGGTATTTGACGTGTTCTTTGGTTTAAAATTATCTATTTTTATAGCCATCACTCGACGTTTGGGTTTCAATTGACGTTTTGTTTTAACAACTTCATTGGTCTAAATCTCTCTAAATAAAACAATTCTTAGACCAAAAGGTAAGGTGCAAACGAGACCTTAACGGGGGCACCCAACGACAATTTTCGGAAAAATATCTGTTCGGAAGACGATTTGAGATCTAGAATTTTCGGAACATTTGTTGTAAAATTTGCTTGCCTGCCTCTCCTAGCATTTTCGGACATGGTATAATTGCCTATTTTTAACGGATTTTTACCCCAAAAAGGTCACCTATAATTTTCGGGAGCCTTTTTTCTGGCTAAAATTTTCGAAAAGGTAAGTTTTGATCCCTACAATTTTCGTATCACTTGACTTTCAGCTAGGAAATCCGAACAGATGAAAAATTTTTAGGGGATAAAAGTATGCCTATATCTACCGTTTAAATACTAAAATACGTTTAACAATTCTTTGTTTAAGTGGTTTTGAACTATATTCTCGTTGGGTGCCCCTGCCTTAAGTCCAGTACAGGGCACCTCCCAACTAAATAATTAAAAACCACCCTTAAAAAATCGTAAGTTATGCTGAATGAACTTTTTTGCCAACCACAATTACCTAAACAAATGCCTTCTTACGTCGGTGACTGGTTGCTTAGACCTGGCTTTTTCAGTATGATACTCGTGATTATTTCCCTTCTCTGCTTGTGTATCAGGAAGAAGAAAACAGAGAGGCACCTACAGCGCTTCGGCTAATCGAGGCAAGTCTTCATAGAGAGGATGTTGCGGACCAAACAAATTTCAGGTAATCATTCCATGCCCCCTCTCCTTTAGGACCATGGTCGAGTCCCTTGTTCTGTAAAAAACCTTTCTCAAACTCAGAAGTTAGAGGACCAGGTTGTTTCCAATACATCAAAACCCGTTACTTATTACAGAACGTTAGGTACGAAAAACAGGGCCACTCGCCGTAACTCTGTAGAGAGAAACCATGTTTTAAGCGAGATCTAGCACCTTTCATCTATGAAACATATAATTAACAATTATTCCATGAGCGCGCGTTGGATATGAGTTGGCTATAACTATCTCATATCCAACAAGCGCGAATGGAATAATTGTTTTATTATTTTTTTAAATTAACTCCAAACGTCTAATTATTACAACTAAATTTTAGTAAATTTCATTTTAAATATTACAAAACGACCGGATATTAATGTAACTTCCGGTAAACCAAGGGAAAATCACATGAATTGTACGCCGTTTGCGAACTTACTTGAATGAATAATCTGAAAGAGAAGGACGCTATGCTTAAATTTTTCTTGACATGTACTGTTTTCGCTTTCCCTCGCTGTGACTGTGGAATTTGACGCTGGATAGGTCGACCTGGTTGCTTCTCAATTTCGTTTTCTTCCTTCACTGAATCAGAGCTGCTCAAAGACCCAGCTTCATTAATCAATTTGTTGTTGTTTTGGTTGTTCAATGGAAGGATTCACTTGAGGCCCGTTATAGTTCGGTTATGGACATGCGAAAGTGTTAAGAGGTGTAAAACCTCTTCAAACACCCAAAAAACCTGCGAATGGTTTTGAAAACTTTCTCCTTCACGGACTTGCAAGCCATTCTGAAAATTTTTAAGGTAAACTTTGTTGTTGTTGTTACGCAATCAGCTCGACGTACGGAAGAAGTAAGCTTTTAATTTCTTTGAATTTGTAAGGAAACTTCGGAGTACCATTAAATAATATCAAACCAAAGTATGTGACTTTTTTGCCGCTGCCGGTATGGCATTTTAGGTGTTTTTCTGTTGTTTCGTCGGTAGAAAGCTCGCGAAATCTACTTTTCTTTCGCCGCTTTGTCCGAGAGAAATTTTGTTGTTTTCCATATAAGGTCAAATTAAGGTATATGAGCTGATAACCGAGACTGCGTGAGCAATCAGAATGCCAGAAATGCATTATCCGCGGTTCAAAATTTAATAATAACTTTTACTATATCGTACTTTTATAATTGTTATTAGCGAAAACCGTTACCTGTTGATCCTGACTGAAAATTATGCCGCGCTAAGAATCATCCAGCAGCATCTATTGAAGACTTCAGAAGACGCAGTGGTGATCTTTGGGAGTAGCTTTCCAAACGACCAGGAGTATACTCAGGTAAAATGAGCAACTGGCACTTAGTTCCATGCAGCTATACCCCGGCCGTTTGTTAGATTGTGTTGTATAATCTGATCGTGAGTTGATCAGACGATTTGACCATCTTAACAAAATTGAAGATTTTTCTTTACGTTCAGTACTGTACAGTACCGCAAATGATCCCCAAAATGGACCGCAAATGATCCTCGACCGCAAGTGATCCCCAAAGTCGACCGCAAATGATCCCGAAAGAAGAATAGGAATGGCTTAGACTCGAGTTAGCGGATCATCGTGTCGACTTTATTATTATTACAAAAAGTATGATAAACGCTAAATTTTAGTTCTTAAATAAATACATGAATAAAAACTAAATGAAAAAAAATCATTCAAGTGTAAAAACGAAGTCGGTAGGCAACCGACGACTTTTACCTCATGCCAAAATGCTGCTTGTTCCAATGAATTTTTCTTTGGCGGGTAGATTATACCTCTGAGGGAAAACGTTTTGTCTGAGCAAATGTGATTTTTGCCGCTTATTTCATCCTGAGAGGTCATGACACGCATTTTCTGCGGTTATTGTTTTTTCTGGTCGGCATGATTTGTCCTTTATTGCAAGAGCATTTCCTTTGACCTCTTTTTAAATGCAATGCTCTTCATTGCTGCTAAATAAGGGTTTTAGGTTGTTAAATTTTCTTTAAAGTGCGTCATGGATCCGAATAATTATAAGCGACTTTCTTTTAGTCTGTGAATGTGACGGTTCCTACGATGTTTTGTCACGCGATAACTACCGCTTGCCTCGCTTTTGCGTTTTTCATTACCAGGTTTATATTCCTTGTAACTGTCTCCAGCAAAGGCACAACAAATGGATATACATATAAGCGTCAATAGAACTATTCGCAACATGTTCATGAGCTGTAAGCAAGTTGCTTTTTCGAAATAAACCGAAACCTTTGGACATTGATAAGTTCGGGGGCATTTTGACGTGTGTTTATTTCAAATCATGTCTTGTTTCGTAATGGGCACTCCCAGGCCTGGGGCACTCCTAAGTTACGAACCAATGTCTTACTGTTTATCACCTAAAATTAACACTTCAGAGGAAAATCAAAACTAAATATTCTGAAAATTAATTCGACACTTCTAAAAAGATCAGTAAAGTCAATAAAGCTCTTGTTGTGTAGAGGGTGCCCGGCTTTGTATTCCTCAGTAGACAAGTTGAGCTTGGGCGTTAAAATAATAGAGTTTTTTCTGCGTAACGTCCTGCCTGTGTTAAATTTTCAGCGACGAAACAGTTCTTGAAAGAAAATTGAAGCAATTGACAAAGGAAGAAGTATACGGTTGATAACATATCCTTTTCAAATTTACTCTACTTTTTTTTTTCGCCTTGTATGAATTGACCTGAGATGTAGCGTCCTCCTTCCCTTTTTCTTTAGAAGGCGCTAGAAAAAGGTTCCTTTTTTATAATCAGTCCTTTTTTGTAATCAGTCCCATAAAATCCATTCCATTCGTCAAGTTTTCACGGGATCATTTGCGGTCAACTTTGGGGATCACTTGCGGTCGAGGATCATTTGCGGTCAATTTTGGGGATCATTTGCGGTCTCGGGATCATTTGCGGTACTGTACAGTACTTTTTAACCCTTGACCCCCATTTTTTCGTTTGAGCAAGCAGCAAACGCAGGGCACAACCACCTATAACCTTTTTTACGTTGACCGACTTTCTATATCGAGTCCACTGTGCCAAAAATTGCTTTTGACAGTCAGAGAGAATTGCTTGTAGGAACTTTTCCAAATGCACCAGCAGTTTGTTCAGTTACAGAATTATTAAATTCTTAACGGAATCTCCATTGATTACATTCTTCGTTCAGATTTGTCGCAACATCAACCGGATCAAAGTTTGCATGGAGACTGGCCGTACCGTGATTTTGTTGAATTTGGAAAGTCTCTATGAAAGTTTGTATGATGCTCTGAATCAGGTGAGGATTTTAATTTCATTCAGGTTGTTTTTCCCTTGCTCTGGCTACGATTGTTTTGAACCCTTCTTGAGGTCAGCTATAAGCCAGGCAGTGCACGATTTCATTTCCCTTTACAGAAACGGTTACGAGCCCTGCTAAATACAGTCACGTTTTTGGTATTCACTGGTAATTTGTTAGCTCATCCAACTTGAAGATTTAGTTTCATCTTTACGAGAGGGAGACAGTTAAAGGTCTTCTGATACGCATATTTGTGTATTTATGTATTTATTTATTAATTTCCTTATTTCTTTTTGTTTTATTTTGCTGTGATGGAGGACAGAAGTATGTTGATCTAGGGCTTGGTACTCACCGCGTCAAATGCCGTGTTCATGATGAGTTTAGGTAAGATACTAGAAATACGTTATAGCAACATCCTCGCGAAGCTTTAAAGGATCAGCAGTGAGAAAAAAGGCAAACAAGCTAAAGGGGAAAAATGATAAAAAATGTAATAACTTTAAACATATGGCTTCGACCGGATTTGAACCCTCTCTTTTCGAATCTCCCATATGTGAAATGGCTCCTTGTCCAGTGCGCTACGCAGCCATTGCATAATTGTTTCGTTAAAATTATTATACCTAAAGCATATTTGCCTACAGTTGGAAAAATAGCTTAAAGACATACGTAAAAGGCCTTTTGCATCATTTCGGTCTTAATTCACTCTCGGGTTCAACGGCGGATGGATGTACGGAGCTGAAACCAGTCTTTGATTTGATCAATCAGTAAAATCGATCGGCGTGGACAGAACCAATTCGTAGTTGGTATGCCTTGGTGTACAAAGGTACAGATTTTAGGGAAAAGCAAAGTTTTGACGGTAAAAAGCCGATTAAAAAGTGAAACGCACTTTTGAATAAAACATGACAGTGCATAGCATTTGCATTCGCACTTGAAGTAGCGTTGCCTGGCAACCCTAAAATGCACTCTGACGGCAAAACTGGATGACGTCAATTGCGGACACCCAAGAGATCTATATTCGCAACTGGAGTTTCTGCCTCGCTGTGCAATCAACGCGTGCGACAAATTTGTAAACCTCCTAAGGCGACGCGCCTTTTGCTTCGCTCGGAACACTAAATATATTCAAATTTGTTTCGGCTATTCTTGTTACGCATTGTGTCATCGGTATTGATTATCAGCAAGGTTACGGTTTTGAACGAAGCAAGTATTTTAGGAACGAAACTTGCCTTTTTGCATGGGAAGTAGAGCTTCATTTTGCAGTTAGCTTAGTGGCCTGTGAATTTGCTCTAAAACTTCAACTCATTGTGTGTCTGACTTTTCCTTTATTAGTAACATCACCCAGAGAGGTTTGCATTCACCTGGTTTCTGTCGAGGTGGAGAATTTAAGTCGCGGGCCTTTTTCTAGTACAATTTTTTAAAATCTTGGTTAATCAAAGCTGTTGCTTAGCTGGTCTTAAAAGTTGATGGATGCGGCCGTAAGGTTTTTTTCCGACCTTCAGCTACTCTTCTAATACACTTTTTCGCTGCTTCTATTTTTTATTAATTCAATTGTCAACTCGTCCTCTTTCTTTTGAAGGCTGATTGTTATTGCTGAAAAAGACGTTGTTTACAACAATTTTCCCATTCCGCTGATAAACCGTCTGGAGAAACACTTTCTTGTTACGTCAACCAGTCTAACGCCGGAGCAGATAGAGTTGGTGGAGAAATTGCGCATCTGGGCCAATGACTTTGCTGAAGTTTCGGGGCCGACTAAGCGTAGGAGGTGAGAAGATCGTGTACCTTGGTACCCCCACATTGGTAATTATATGGCGCACAACCCATTTTCTTGCAGCAACATTGCCACAAATTGACAGTATCATGTTAGGCGTTATTGTGAAGTAGCTTGCTATCCACTTTGATCCATTTTCAGAATTAAATTCCACCCAACACTCCAAAAGTAATTGCAATACTATTTTCCTTACATAAATTTGCAGGATTCTAAATTTCACTATGATAAAACCATGTCAAGTCTGATTCTTCCTCACTTTCAGGCGTTCATCATTAAATTTTAAGCGATATTATATTTCGACTAGTGTGATTGCCCTCTAAAAAGCAATGCCAGGGGGTCGTCGGGTGTTAAAGGTGACGTCAATATCTAGGGCGTACACTACAAGATTAGGCATTGACTTTCTTTCATCCTGTGATGTAGGGATTTCACCATTGGAGATGCCTTTGTTGGATATCACGAGGACACCATTCCTTCCATAGTGATGCAAGTTTGTAATGATCTTGCAGACGAGGATAGCCCTTCACAAGAAGAAGCCGAGGATCCATGGGAAGTTAAGGTAAGATTGCACACTGTGTTCGGGAGCTTTGGAGGCAAATCTGATAGCTCTGTTGTTTCACGTTTATCGCAAGTTTTCAGTCGATGGGAGCGCGTCGCGTCTAAGACTCAACTGGATTCTTGCATTTTTACTCGTATTGGTGGCCTCCATTGCTGTTGTAAAGCTTAAGGGTAAATGTGGAACACTTCCCTATGTTACGGTGACTTGTTGAGTGATTTGATACATGACGGTCCATATAATTAAGGTGCCTGAAAGAAGGGGAACGTAAAATCGTTTAGGGTCGAGCCTGAATTCATTGAAGCGCAGTCTGTTGAGTAAAATGGTCGGTTCAGTTGATTTTGATTATTATTTTTTGAAGGTGGCACGAAGATGTAAGAATATGCTTCTTCAGATGGCTACACCAGATGCAATTGCGCGTCTCCCTGCATCTGGCTTGAAAGGAGAAGCTACTGAAATGTGGCAAACGTATTTTTACGAGCAGCAGCATTCGAGTCTAGCAGCCTTTATGCATCATGTTCTCACTCTCGAGGAAAAGCGAGAAAAAGGACTCTTTATTCAAGTAAGAATCATGCAATAAGTCCTAGTAGATTTCAAGATGCCTTTTGGACTCATCTTAATTTTTCAATGCCCTGTTTTGGCTTAGGTTACTACTCATTCGCGACTTCTGTCAAACCATGACCTGGATGATTTATGTAGCACAACGGGTCTTCGTCGTTCAACTGTGGATGTTATGACACTCCAGCAATTTCAGACTGAACAACAATTCCGATCTTTAGTTAGGTAAGATTCCCTCCCGCCTATTTCCAGCGTTTCAGTTAAAGCAGTCGAAGCATTAACGAAGTTAGAGCAATACAACTGATTTTTGCTGTATATGAATGACAAAAAAATGTTGTTTTAACAGTGTTTGCCTTGCTTCTTTACAGAACATTTTTTGAACACCTTGGCGGAGATTGCTCGGGTATTCTGGTAGTGCAGTGTGATTCAGGAGACGACAATTTTAATCTGATAGCGGGTGCACGGCATATTCTAATGGAAGAAAGCAAGAACGCACCCGAGCTACTTAACCTGCCCACTGTCGCAGCAGTTCATATTGTCTTGGTGATTCAACTGCCCAGAATTGCCGGTGGATGCCGCAATTTTGTCGGTTTCCAAGGTGGAAACTGGATTTCTACCCATATTGATGAGCTTCGTCCACCCGAAAGGTACACTCCATCAATCGAGGATCTCATCGACAGACCAATCAGCAAATTGTTTGGAGGTGAAAATGCAGGACCGCTAAACCAACATGATGCTACTCGACTGTTAGCTGTGAAGTTCTTGCGAAATTGCGTCCAAGCAGCAGCTTGTAGAATCGACGACGAAGGTGGATCGACTGACCGATCAACTGAAAGGATCGAGTTGCTTTTACATTTGCTTCCTGAGGACTTTGACGGTCGTGAAGGTCAGTTAAACAGTTGAAGGGACAGATCTGTTTGGTGCTGCAGATTTTGTGATGTCTCTTAGTCCAAACGTATTTTACTTGGAAAAAAACGTGATCTCGGGATTACTTCTTATTTTTTGATATGTAGCCGGATTCCCCACCAAATGTGACATACCATAAACCGGGAATCTCTGGTTAACCTTTTGTTTGTCAATATTTGTATCATTTGCCTAAATTATATATAAGTTAAGCGGGTTAGAGCCACAGTAGGGCAGTAGCTAAGTTGACCCGAAAAACTTCCCTAAAAGAGTGTGGCTAACGCAAGAAATTCTTGCCCTTTTTCGTGCCTTACGTAAGCCAGTGGTGATTAAAAACGTAGAATTATTAAGACGATAAATCAAAGCAATTTGAGTGTTTTTAGAAGATGGAGAAAAAAAATCATGGTGTCATTCACGAATACTTATTAATATGGGCAATATATTTTAGACGCACGAGTACTGAGTATATCATCAGATTGCTTTTGATATGTATCGTCATTATTTTCCTTTTTTACAGAAAGGTGTACATTTGCCAGCGTCCTCGTGCAAAGAACGTTCTATCTTCTTGAGGAAAGAGAAAGCACTGCTTACAATACTCACGGGTGGCTTCACTCCGAAGCTCTGTCAGGAACAGGTGTACAAGAGTGGGGTACCTTCAGAAAGGCTCTTTTGAAAAGAATCTACTCAGCGGTTGTTCCCATCCTTGCTGAGATCATTGCATTTGCAGACAGAGACAGAAATTTGGACTTAATGAAGGGCGGCAATATTTGGGTTTCTACGCTGTGGCTGAAGATCATGGTAGACCCTAAAATTTCAGAGCTTAGTTATAGCAAGATGATCTCGCCTGTTACAAATTCAGTTCGAGAACGTGTGCAGGTCATCGGATCTGGTGCCGGAGGCCACAGTTTTCAGTGCCTATTTCCTTTTTCATTTATTGTGAACCAGCGCGTCGACAAAATGTTAAAGGACGCTTTTAGCGTTACAGGTAATTCCCAACTTTGCACCCTACGAGCGATAAATTATTCAAGTGTCCCTTTGATAGCTTTTCCTCGCTTAACAAAAAATGTTCCATTACAGTTAATTGTCTTTAAAATTGTCTTTAATCTTATTCATAGCACTGCAATGCATGAGTTATTTGTTTCTCACTGCCGGGATTTACGTTATCACTATACACGGGAGCTTCTGGAATTGAACCTTGCTATTGATTTCACTAACAAATATACTCTCAGCCCAAGAATTGCGTAGATGTTTCGCCATAGCATCAGCGCGATTTCACTCTCGTGTTTCAGCCCAGTCTAGTGCTACTTTGGTGGAAGCTTTACGAGATCTGATCGACAGCTCAGAATTGGGACCTCTTCTCCGTGAACTACCCCGCGAACACTTGCCATCATTGCAATACCTGACAGATTTTGTCCACATGGTATACAAGTCCTCAAGCGAAAGTGAACACCAGGTTTCCTCCTTATTCTTATTTCTGTTGTTAAAAATGTGATTACTTTTAGAAACAGTCCCCAGCGCGGAAGGCATGAAGAATAGCAGGTTTTCATCAAGAATCGAAGCTGGCTATACACTTTGTTGGGTTGTCTATGTTTTGTAGTTATGAATCCATGAAGCATTTACCAATTATGGTGGTCACCGACTTGTCTCAAGAAAGTTATAAATCTGTTTTTGTTTATTTATTTATTTATTATTTTTCAAGTTATCTGCTAGGAACGAGGTCTTAGTAGGTGCGTTTGATATAGAGCCATGGTCAGTGATACCTGTTCTTTATTATTTCAGCTTGTCTGTGAAGCTATTCTCTCTTCAGCAAGAGAACTTGGTGTTGAGGAAGATGAAATGATTGACATAGCACTTGTTCATGTGGCATATAGCAGAATCCAGTCTCGACTGAGATGCTTTTCAAAACTTGTTCAAGCCAAACCCGAGGTTGTCGAAAAGCTTAAAGAAGTATTCCGGGGGAAACAAGCTGAAGTTGTAAGTTGATTAGTTCGACTTTCTATAAGACCTTTGCTTTCCGTTGCCGAGTTGGGTGACGAGGACGTTAAAAACAATTTATTGTGTAAGCAAAATAACAGCTCTGAACGTGAATCACATTTTTTGATTTGTTTCTTTGCCTTCCGCGGTTCCACTACGATGTGAAACGTCCTAATCGAACGTTGTATAAGATCAGTATGGACACTGGTATTCCTTTGTGTAGCCATGATGAATCATGAGTTTTGGATTGACATGTTCAAAATTCATCTTGGCCGTGGCCGAAGGTGATAATAAGCACCACGCTTACGTCAAACGCAAAACGCGAATTTGTACCACGTGACCAAGTTTCCCCTTTAGTTGTCGTTTGCTATTCATTATTTCTACAAATAAATTAGTAGTTTCACGGGATTCTTTTTTTCCATAAGATTTGTTTTGGGCTGTTTTCTATTTTAAGAAATTGTCAACTTGAATTTGCCGTTTGCCGTTTGCCGTTTGCCGTATACGTGAAGCTTAAAATCTTTAATTATGGGATATTAGGGAACTTAAGATCCAGACGTTTTCGGGAAGACGGCGACCAGACTAGCAGAGCAAGGCCTGAAACAGAGGTAGCCGTCGCTTCCCTCCAAAATGCGAACATTAAGATCGCAGTAAACTCAGGAGGACGGCGCCTTAGAAGACTATCGAGGAGGAAAATGTGGCTTCACATAAAGAATTAAGAGAATTAATGCTTATTTGCTTGCGTGCAACAACAATAACAACGACAACAACAACTTTATTTCAGTATTCCCACGTTAGTACGTGGTATTACCTACTATTCTGAAAAATTTTCAATACATATGTTTCATTTATACGATACTCTAACGAAAAAAGTGAGCTAAAAATACACACTTAAAATATCGGAGTTCATACTTTTGTCTGGATACTTACTCACTTCGCTCGTAGGACAATTTTGTCCATGTAAAGCTCACTTACGGTTTGCTCTTTGCCATATTGGATCAGACTGGATCTTGACTCAGACGTGAAACATAGAAACATTATAAAGATGTAAGTTTAGATAACAGAGCTTGGAAATCGAGCTTGAAATGTGACTCAAAGAAAACAAGGACAATTTAAGAGCAATAAACTGCAAAATTCTGGTTGCTAAACGCAACAAACCTGATTGAAATGAAAGTTAAATACCCATGTTCTCGTCACAACTCCAAACAGACCAGTTTCACGTCGCCGACGGGAGCACGACGACAATGTGGTGAGCAAGAGCATGGGCGATATTGCACAAATCATGACGTCACGTCCGGTTGAAGTTCCCGTCGCCCCGAAAACGTCTCCATCTTAAATTCCCTATTACTAAGAAGGGAACGGGAAACGGGAAACGAGCACGGAAAATAAAAACAACAACAACAACAAAAAAAAAAGACGGAAAAAATTTAACTTTAACCCTAATCCTATCAGCTACTTCATTGCCAAATTTTGTTTTGTTCTTTTTGTTGATTTTCCCCTTTCCCGTTCCACGTTTTAGTAACATTCCGTCTTACGGAATACGTGAATACACGTCAACGAAATTTCTTTGGTACCTTTTGAACTTTTGAAGAATTCAACCCTAGGAAAATTCGCTTACATTTGGAAAACTGATCGCGCATTAGCACAAATAGACCTTTCCCGCATTACGCTCCAGTGAGCAAACATAAAGAAATGAGGACGACGGGTGGACAATTTCATACAAATCACTGTATTTTGTCCACCCGAACCTCGAGTTGGTGCTTTTGTTTACAGGAATACAGGAAAGGTCTATTCACTTGTCGCAACTGTCATCGTCGCGGTTGCAACAGCTTCGCACCCCGCAAGAAAAGTACACGCCTGTTAAACGCTATAACAAGGGTTTTGATAGTTATTGTTTATTAAATTCAAAAAAGTTGGTTAAGTTCCGCAAAATGTTTAAGACACCTTAGACTTAAAGTATTAGCTTGCAACACTGCGTTTTGTTGTATTAGCTGCTCGACGTCGTCACCTTGCAAGTTTGCCTGGAGGAACTGACTTTATACGAGGACGTGTTATCAGGCCAGGAATCTCGAGGTAACTGGTGTGACAGAGTGCTGTCAATCAGACCAGCAGTTGAAGAAATGATGAGAAAAGATAAATTTGGAGCCTTTACAGAAGAAAATTCAAGCTACGGAAAGAGAGCCACTATGTTACTTAACTACTGCAGGTAAACTGAATGTGTATGTCTTACCATTCATTACACAGAAACGGAAAGAAGGGGGAAGAAGAGAAAACATATACATTTCGTTGGAAAGCGTTGTTAGGTTGTCAGACTCGTCGAGTAGATATTGCAGATGTTGTAGTTAAAAGTGAAATTTACGTTGAAAATTTTTCCACCTAGCTTGATTCTCCGTTTTCTTTGTCCCCTAAACCTAATCACAGGTCAGAAAGAAAAAAAAGAAACGCTAACCCTGATACTCACCTACACAAAATGGCTACTTTTCTTGTTTCTGACTTGTGATTACAGTTAGGAGACAAAGGTAAGTTAAAATCAAATTAGGACGAACTCGTTCGTTGGACGTTATTCCAAACCTTACACAGACATACATACAGTCTTAAGTACCGTGCATCTTGTCTCGATAAACCTCCTTAATTAGGTAATAATGTCGTCAACCATATTAGTAGCAAGATAGTTATAACGCAACCTTCAAGAGTAGAAAATAACAAAAAAAAAACAAATGTTGCTAGGAAAAGGCAATGGAAGACTCTTTTGGGGGGTTAAAGGTAATTGCGCTAAGTACTCTCCGTGGGGAAGCAAACCTCATAAAACGGTTGCAATTTGCCACGACATATCTGTAAGTTACGTCGTAATTGATACTTTTTCTATCAGTATTATTACACGATTGTTTGCATGATCTTATTAGATCCAAATGGCAGAGAGCAGGAGCTGTAAGGTTGTTTGTGGAGCACGTCATTCTATTAAACGAATCTGACGACGATGAAGTTAATTCTGAGAGTGTGGTTACCCTGTGGAAGGTATTTACAAATGCAAGTTACGAAGTTATTAATCAAAATAAAAGAAAATTCAAACAACCAGAATTTATATCTTGAAACCTCGTCTTACTAGCAACAAAAACACAATTGCGCCCAAACCGAACTTAAACTGTACTGTTTAAGGTATCATCCAGGGTAAAAACAAATCATCATTTTTCGAAATTTGCAATTTTTAGATGATTAAATAGAGCTCATCAAGAGCTTTCTTTAAAAAAAAATTCTAGGAAAAAATGTTTTTTCCGTGCAGGCTTATGGAGCACAAAAGTTTTTTTTCTACGCGAATTATTTTAATTGATCGTTGACAAGTCCTGTCATACCTGATACCCATGCCGCTGTTGAACCAAACTAATCACCCAATTTGACAAAAATCGTGGTCTACAAGTATAGTTAATTCTCACTGTTTTTCCCTGGATTTTGGAAGTGAATGCCTCCAAAGAAAAATAAAAGAGCTTGTCTGTTTTCGTCCTTGACTCCAAGACGAAAGAAGAAGATAAAATCCTTTTGCAAAGTGTGAGCTTCGAAATTAGCAGAGAACGACAAGGGTTCCTACTGCAATCACGAAGAGTGGCTAAAAGATGGCTAAAAACCTATTGAAACTACCGCGGAATCGATTTTCTCGAGTTTCCTAGCGAGTAGAGCGAGCTTTTTACGCTGCGAAGCGGCTAATCGAGCGACGAGGTCGCGAGAGGACCCTCGCCATATGAAAATCGGACGAAGGACTTTTTTGAAAGTCTATTGTAACAGGAGAGAAGCTTCAAGAAAAACTCCAGGAAGTGGTTTGTTGTCGATTTTGCCAGGGAAGTGTCGAACTTTTAGAAAATGTATCGAGTAAAGTGGGCTTGGCTCAACTTGGCTTAGTGCGAAAATGAAAACTGCCCGTCGTAAATAAGTAATGATGCTCTCTCAATAACAGAAAGGATCGAATAGAGCAGAGCCATCTGTTGTCGGGGTTTCGTTTGTAACCTTTTCCTGTTGTGTCACTATTGTTGTCCCTTCTCTGGTATGCATTAACATTGACAGCTTTGGTATTATAATCTGTTATAATCTCGTCACGGGTAATACGCCGCCAAAAATCTTTTCCCCCTGTTTTCTCGAAATTAAAACCAGGGCAACTTGAGGGTACGTTTTAAACTCCAAGTTGGCAAGCCGTGAATCAATTGGCTGAAATTTGGCCAACTTACTGTCAGATAGTTTTACTTAAAAATTGTGTCTGCGAATTTTGATTTCTTGTTTCGTTTTCGAGCTAGAGTATTTTTTCCACAGGTAGTGCTAATGATTTGCCATACCTGACTTCAACTGCTTATAACAAAAGAACAAACGCATTTGACAAAATGTGAGACAACGTTTTTTGGTCAAACATGTTAAGAAGCGAATGCGATCTTAATTGGCTTTTTCCGTTTATTTTTGGCTGGCTTAGACTTAAATTTACATTGACACCCACTTTCACAAAAAGCTTCTCATTTCTGAATCGCGTTAACATTTTGATTTTTTTACCTTTTTTAATCTGGAACTATTAAGCTTTCAAAAAATGTATGGTTTATGCGGATATTTATTAAAAGCAAAGGCGCTAGCACCGATCAACGCGAGGAGGGTAGTGGAGGGTGTATGATACCTTAAATCGAGGTTTGGTCAGTATCGACAGTCGAAAACAGACTGAGACAAAAATGTTTGGTTTTCAAAGATTCTTTTGATTCTCGTTTCTTGCTGGCTTCTTAAGAACGGCGTAGTCTTTGTATTATATGTTACTATACACCCTTGGCATACGCCAGTCTCTTAAGAAACAGTTCATATACATGTACTTGGTTTTCGTTTTGGGAGTATCTACATAATTGTAGCACTCAATTTTGGTTGTCGTTGTTCACTTAAGGTTCATTCTTTGGACTGACCCAGGGAAGGAAGGATACTTATTAGTAAGTATTATTGTCTTTGAAGGCGCTGGGAGAGGAGGCAAACTTTTCTTCGCTGAGGTCTCTACAAACTATAGAGAAATTCCTGATAAACTACACGGAAGACACTAGGAACAGGTAACGCAGCTCAAGTACAGTGTATTTTTACTTTATTATTATTTTTTTAAAAAGGACAGCTATCACGTTGTGTAAACACTGTTTAGGAAATGTGTACGCTGACGAGACAGTTTATATCTCGGTGTTCAAGCTGTACACACTTCTATTTTACATTAATCAAGATCTCCAGTGCTTTATTGAATGGTTAGAGGGCAAAAGGCTTGTCCTAAATGTGTTTTCTAAACTAAGAAGTCCAAATTTTCTCCGAGTAGTAGTGGTGGTGGTGGTGTTGGGAATTAAGAGGAAATAGGTGGTTGTAATGGTGGTGGTGGTCACAGCGGCAGCGGGGGTGGTAGTGGTGATGGTGGTGTGGTGGTAGTGTTGTAGGGAAACAATAAACATGTTGTAATGGTGGTGGTTTACGAGGGAAGCAATAGAACTGTGTTGGTGGCTGTGGTGGTGGAGGAAAGGTGCAATAGAAATGCATGTATGGCGGTGGTGTTGTGGTATTGGTGGAGGAAACAGTAGAAATGTGGTGGTGGTGGTCGTGGGAATGGTGTAGTGGTGGTAGTGCTGAAAGGAAATAATAGAGATGTGGTGGCGATGTTAGTGGAGGAGGGAAACGACAGACATGTGATGGTGGTGGTGACGGTGGGAAGACAAATGGAAATAAAGGATGAAGGAAATAGTTGACTTGTCGAGGACTAGAAAGAGGTTAGGGGTAAGTTATGAAATTTCAAAAAACAAGCTCACCATCGCCGTGATTAATTACCCAAATTGTGCGTCCTAAGTCAGTGAACCGGAACAGGGAATAACTGTGGCAGGAAATAAGTACGTTATTTGTCAGTGACATTAGGCAACACGTGACTTTGCGCTTATTTCTTCGTTAAAATGAATCAGCCAATGAACGCTTGTCTAAAATTTTATTCAGCAAACCTAAAATCATCCTTCTAAGAGTGACTCAAAACCAGTCCAAGCGCCTAAACCACCTTAAATAGTACCTGACGTTTCCTTAGCAAGATTCATCTCAGAAAAAGAGCCTGTCCGTTTTGTCCTATACTACTTCCAAATTGTAAATCCTAAATACAAAGTATATTATTAAGACGCAAGGCTCCCGTGAATACCAGCCTTTAAGCTGGATGGGCCACCGTCTTTGTTAAAAGTCTTACATCACTGTGTGTTGGCATCGCTCTCCTGAGTAAACGCATGAAGTGGACGTCGAATGCATGTACCAAAATGTAAAACCTATATACCGCGCCGTTCGTCAAAATCTTGCTTTTGTGGCATTCTGGTTTTAACGTGGTGGAAGTGCCACACGGTCCACATTTTCCTCTTTTAGTTCTTCAAAAGGAATGCTTTCTTTCCCTTATTTTATCTACTCCTTTTCAAGAGCCAACAATAGCAGTGATTCTGAGTTGCGTCGTCGTTGCAACGCCTTTTTCATGGAGCTGGTCTCGTTGTTTTGCTTTGGCGGTTCATGTGACAGTTTGGAACCTGGGGCTTTGTCGCTGGAATACGCAATGCAATGACCTGTCGTAAGACGGGTCTGCTTCCTGAAGAGTGGCAATCCAGACTACGGTATCGATGCGACACCTGTCGTGCGTTCCTTTCTTCTCCAGCAGCTCTTACGATCAAGGTAATTGACGAACCTATTGTCCGGCTTTTGTAGGGAGTTAGGCTCGCTCTACACGAAACTTGTTCCTCTGAGTCATAACGTCTATTGTGGTCGCGCCTACTGAGACATTGCTGTGAGTGTTCAAGTTAGGGACAATTTTTAATCTTTTGGGTATGGTTCGAAATAACTTTGTGGGGATAACTGTCAGTATGAATGAGAAAGAAGCTATTCTAGGAGCTGCCAGCACATGGGCATAAGAAAGCAATTTTGATTAGTTATTACAATAACGATTTCTCCTCTCGATTTCAATAAACTGATCAGATCTCCTGCATTTTTTGTATGTCAAGTGTCTTGTTCTATTCGAAGAACATCTACTTTACAGGAAATACAATTTTTAAGTGAGGGGATCCATCGGAATCTTAAGGGGATCCCAAAACAAGGCCTTGATACAATATAGTATACTACTAATGATACTGCTGATGATGATCTTTCCCTTTGAAAACTTTGATATAAATAGAATCTGTTTAAACTGCATACATTTGATTTTTTTTTTCTCAGC